CTACGTCAGTACGTTGAGCTAAGGGATGAATATTCTAATGGGGATAACTTCTTTATGACTGCTTTGATAACTGTTTTTAAACGATAAAATTAATATATTTCTTTAGGCAGGGTTGGATTATGTACATAATAAAGATATTTATTTTTAAAGGTATTTGGAAAATGTCAAGCATTTACTTTATCAGTTCAAAGATGCAGGGATCCAGTTAGCCCATAAAACAGTTAAATGATGTGAGAAATCAGAGAAAAGTAAAAGAGTAATTCTGGTAATGGAAATGATATGAATCAAACGTATTATAAATTAACTGTTTACAAAACTTTGAATTTTTGAAATTCTAAGGATTTTCTACCCCAGGAATAAATTACCTTAGCTGTATTTGGCAAAACTTTCAGGAATTTTAAGTCCTTAATACTCTTCAACTTTGTACTTTAATAGGCCTTTTTAACTTTTTTTTATTTGAGCTTCACTGATGAGTCTTTTGTAGACGAAACACTCATTTGGCATACAAAATTCTAATCTTGATATCTATGAAGAGTTTATTTGCATGTAAATTATTAATTAAAAATAGCAAGTACAATAAATTGCTTCGCCGAGCTCAGCTGGATACGACCGCAGAGGTCAAACCCTGAACAGTTGGGGCAAAAATGGAGGCAATATTCGCGCTTGATACATGTCTGAATTTGAATAGTAATTAAATATTTGACACATAAAAGGTTTCTGACACAGAATAACTGTAGTCAAAGAACTTAGAATTGGTTATATGATTTGAATTTATATTCAATTTTTAGCTTTTGTGCACTTTGCTGTTGCGAATTGACCCCCCCTCCCCCCACAAAAAAAAATAAAAAATTTACCCCCCCCTTTTTTTTTTGCTTTTGTGCAATACACTATGCTGTTGTGTATTAACCCCCCCCCCCCCCCCCCCCCCACACACACACACACACTTTTTTTTTGCAAAAAAATAATATTTGAAGAATTTTTCTTTTTAATTTCTGAAATCTGAAATGAGAAAAAATTGACTCCCCACAATTTCTTTTTTAAAATATGATCATATCTTTCATATGGATTTTTTTTGTATAAAAAAAAAGATGCAACATTTGCAGATATTTTTACTGGTCTTCCTTTATAAATATGCATTTCTTTAAACATAATTTAAAAGTAGAGTAAGGGAGGTAATCAAAACGTTGTATTTGGATTACCTCCCTTACACTGCTTTTAAATTGTCTTAATTGTTCATTAACAATTACTTTATACTAATTTAAATGCAGTGTAAGGGAGGTAATTCAAATGATGTATTTGAATTACCTCCCTTACACTGCTTTAAATTATGTTTTGTACTAAAGTATTTGTCCATTAACAAGGACACCCTTGTTTTTCCCCCTTTTCTGTCCCTTATTCCTAAACAGTTTGAGCCAAAACCTCCTAAAGCAAATCCTAACCATCCCTTTATGGTATGGAAGCTTGTGGTATAATTTCAGAGAGATCCATACACCGTTCCACAAGTTATTGTCTGGAAACTAGAAAAATGCTTATTTTTGGCCCCTAATTCCTTAACTGTTGGTACCATAACCCCCAAAATCAATCCCAACCTTCCTTTTGTGGTATGAAACCTTATGGTAAAATTTCATAGAGATCCATTCACTTTAACTAAAGTAATTGTGCGAAAACCAATGTGTCTTCAGACGACGACGACGCCAACGTCATACCAATATACGACCGCAAAATTTTATTTTGCGGACGTATTAAAATAACTTAAATTACATGACTTAAAGTGTGTATATCCGCTAACCGAGACCCTTTGGCTTAATTATGTGAAAGTTAGAAGTAATAAAATGCCAAACTTTGAGTTACTGACATCACTACCACATTGTCTGATGACGGCTATATAAAGTACATCATAGTAGTTCGACCAAGGTAAGAGACACTTGGTGTTAAAAATGTTCAGGTTGGCAGCACAGAACACGTTACAAAATTTTAACCCCCACCCTCCAGCAATTACATTAAGAAACATTATTCCCTTTTTCTCTATATTTCAGCACCTTATTAGATTAATCAATTGAATTTTAATGAATTACTATCTTTTGTGTAGTCAATTCAATTCAATACTGTTCATGCCGTTGTAGGATTTTTACTATCATATATATTCAATAAATTCACTTAGTCTATTTAATCAACCTATCATTCTAAGAGTTGATTAAATTGAGATCCTTTTAGAGTTGATCAGTTCAATAAACTGTTTCTTCTGGTTTTCAAGGGTCATGATTGTATCAATCCTATTCAATCGTTACTATCATTAAAGAGTTGGTCAATTCAATCAACTGTTTCATGTGGTTTTCAAAGGTTACAAGATTGTATCAATCATATTCAATCGTTACCATCATTTAACAGTTGATCAATTCGACATGTTCAATCAATTGTCTCCTCTCGTTTTCAAAGGTCACGATCATATCTATCGTATTTAATCATTTAGATTGTTCAGAATTGATCAATTAAATCAACTGTGTCACCTGGTTTTCAAGGGTTATGACTGAATCAATTGTATTCAATTGTTATGATCATGGAAGGTTTGAACAATTCAATCAACTGTGTCATCTGGTTTTCAAGAGTCTTGATCGTATCAATTGTATTCAATTGTTACAAAAGTTTAAGGGTTGATGTATTCAATCGACTGTCTCATCTGGTTTTTAAGGGTCACAATCATATCAATTGTTACAATCATTTTAGAGTTGATCAATTCAATCAACTGTCTTGTTTTGTTTTCAAGGGCACGATCGTATCGGTCAATTTCAATTTTTACGATCCTTTACGAGATGATCAATTGAATCAACTGTCATTTCTATTTTTCAAGGGTAAGATAAGAAAACTTTATTTTGATTCGGCATAAGTTAAAAGACACAACACAAGCTCTAAGGAGCTTTTGACTGAATATAAAAACATATACATAACATAAAAACAGTCTAATTTGACATATAAAACAACCTGTTATACGAAATTAAATCTCACTTACATAGCATGCAATAAAAATTTAGCAACAGAATGAAAATGAAATAAAACATGCTAGACCAGAGCAACCAAAAGCAACATAAATAATAAACATCTCAAGAATTATCTGCAAGCAGAACAGCGACATTCCAAACCGTTCCAGGACTGAACAAGACTTTTAAAATGTGAAAAACTATTTTCAGTCCTGAAATGGTTTGGAAGGCTGTTCCATAAAGTAGCGGCAGCAAATTTGAAAGATTTTTTACCGTAACGGGTTGACTTTACCTGTGGAACATCCAGAATATTTACATACCTGAAAGAATACTTAGATTTTTTGACACTCACCAAATTTTGTAAGCACACAGGAGCTATATTATTTATAATCTTAAAAGTTTCTAGAGCCATTGTTCTAATCCGTCTAATCTGCAAGGAGGGCACCTTCGCTTTAAGTAAGAGGTCCTCGTAGGGGCTGGTAAAATCCTCATATACAAAACGGAGTGCTCTTTCCTGCACCTTTTCTAATTTTTGGGAATTTTTCTCAGTGCAAAAATGCCATGCCAAAGGACAAAAATTAAAATTACTAAGAATAAAGGTATAAAAAATAGTAAGTTTACTAAGTCTATCCAAAACTGAGCCCAAACGTTTTAAAACATTTAATTGCTGTGAGGGTCATGATAGTATCAATCGTATTCAATCGTTAAGAATGTTTAAGAGTTAAATCAATTCAATTAGCATAACAATCAGTTTCAATACAAAGGTTATGTGAAGACAAACGATTACCTTGTGAAAAATTTTGCCAAAAAAGTACAGGGATAAATTTTGTAAGTGAAAAGAAACTATATTTGTTACCAAACATTTGTATTGAGTTGATTGAGGTGAAATCTGGTAATCAATTGTGTTCAATTTTATCTATCTTAACGATCAAAGGTTTGCAATTTTTCACTAGTTGATAGTTGTTAATCAATCGTAACGATCAAGCTGCAATTTTTATTGGGTTTACACATGGTAATCAATCCTGATTAAGCATATCTATCATAAAGATTCAGTGTTTGCAATTATTATCGAGTTTATATTTGGTGATCAATTGTGTTCAATCATACCTAATGATAAAATCAAGGGTTTGCACTTTTTACTGAATTGATTGAGTTGATATTTCTTAATCAATCGTGATCAATCCTATCTTAGGTTTTTTATGGATCACGATGACAGCTGATTATCAATAGACCATTTTCATATTACCGACTTTTACTCCGGTTTATATAAATTTTTTACTGGTTACAAATGTACCTACTTTATGGTAGGACATCCTGGTATTCGGTCAGGTAAGATCAACCAAAAGAAGTAAAATCAAATATATAATCTGTGCAATTTGGTGGGAAAATTTACCATTTCCGATGATTTTATCGTGTACAGAAAACATATAACAGTAAATTTTTCCCCAAAATTGTACCAATTGAAAGCTTAATTTAACTTCTACACAGTGCTCTTACTTGACGGAGTACAAGGATGTCCTACCACAGAGTAGTCAACGGTGGGACCTGTTGAAAAAATTATAAATTTGGGAGTCAAAGTTTGGTAATATGAAAAAAGTCTATTGTGATTAATCTTTACAATAGAGGTCTGGTGCCAATTTAACTAGGTGCTGAAGAGACTATTCAGGTGCCAATTTGACCAGGACTGGCAGGAGCCCAAGCGACTAAAGAATTCATCAGCATAGGTAGGGCTTCACTGTTAATATGTGCACAACAAAATTTCTCATGGTGGAGGGAGTACAACACTGTATACAAAGTGAGCACCTTTTCTACTTATGAAAATATGGTTCCTCTACAAAGTCAAAGGGGGGCTTAACTTTAAGAGAAATTAGATTAGATAATTGGCGTTCCTAGCGGATAATCTGTTAAAATATTTATCGTCCACATACTGGTTTAATTATTGCTATTCCAAAGGCAAGATGATTATTCTCAAATGGTCAAAGTACTATTTCTTCATTTGCTCAGACTTCTTTCTCGGTTTCTTACTTTCAATTTTCACCGGAAGTTTACAACTGCGGCACTGTTTTAAAATGAAAATAAAACAAAAATATAGAATAATTCAATTCTTAATAAAAATGAAATCTCTCTGAAATAATTACGTTAATGATTTGTATGAAAATTAAGAAAATTGATTACTTAATGATCCATAGAAACGGAAGTACCAAAAGTGCGTTCCTGTAATGTTTACATCTGGCAACGTGCTTGTTTGGATTTGTTTTTGTCCAGAAAATTCTTTACAGATTCGACAATCGTTTGGTAGGTCTGAATCAATTTTTTGATGAATAGGTTGTAATAAACCACTTTAATTAACGAATTCAAAATTAAGTAATTCAGAAACACAATGTTTTTTATAACTAATTTATTATTATTTAAACTCAATAATTTCATGCAGTTTAATTCGAATTCTAGACAGTTCGGCACACAGACAAATCGGCATCCGGACAAATCGGCACCCGAGAAAGACACTTCGGCCTCCAGACAAATCGGCACCTAACATAGACAAATCGGCACCTCAGAAAGATAAAATCAATTATTAAATTTTTGATCAAAATATATGAACCAAAAATTAAAGTTACCTGGCACTGATATAGGTATGTGGGCATGAACTAAATTTTCCACTTTTAGTGTTAATATAGCAATTATTTTCGACTGTTTTTACAAATTACCTATTTGATTCCTGCACTATTTATGACATTATTGTATATGGTATCTTCGAATAAGTATCTTATGAAGTGGTTTATTCTTTTTGTTGTTTATTTGTGAAGACTGTATTGCAGCTTAGTCATTTGGGTAGCTGTCTTATTTGTGTGTATTCTTTTTCCTGATGCATGAAAATTGATTTTATAGATTTCACCATTCATGTACTAGTTTTAATTTATGCATAGTTCTATTCTGATAGTATTCTAAATCAATAAAACACATGTAGCATACTTATAATATTTATTTTATTAATATTTATTATAATTATATTCAACAGTTTATAGATGCATTAACAGCACTAGATTTGCATAAAAGGTGAACATATGATAGTAATGAAATATTCAAAATACTGTAAATATAACATATAGCATATATACAGGCAGCACTATAAGTTCTAACAAAGTCACTTTGGTGGTGGTCCGTACACACTGGCACATTCCTTTAGCACAGCAGTCTGATCTAGGATTATACTATTACTGTAACAATTCTTTTATTTTAAAATTTTAAAATGAGGTGCCGAATTGTCTTGGTCCCGAAACGTCCTCGAAATGTCCAAAACGGATGCCGAAATGTCTTCAGACCTGGGTGCCGATTTGTCTGGGTGCCGAAATGTCTTGTAACCATTTATCCTTAAAATCCACTTCTTATATATAGAGGATGTCCTCTTACTAAACAATCGAAAGTTTGGTGTTTGTTGATTGGATCTATCTATACACCTTTAAACTACTTTGGATTCTGTAGCACTTTACCCCAGATCAGCACTAGAAATTCTGACAACCAATACACTTTATCGCTATTTGGAAATCTGTCCTGGTTGACCCGAGAACCTGTCCCGCTTGAACTATTGACGTCATACAACAATCACTTTTCAATTGTGGCCTCAGATATTTTGTATTATGACGTCAAAATTTTAAGGAACTTTGTGATATCCAGTAATGGCGGACAAATAGCAATAAGGTGTATTCAATAGGCCACTTCATGGTTATTGCAGCCATATTGTATTGTATGTACGAAGATCCCTCCGTGAATGGAGCACCCCTCGATTTCTGTGAGGGTACAGTGGAATCCATGTACACTCCCTATCAGGATTAATGGAGATGTGTCACTAACTTATATACAACCCACCACCAGTTCAATCCCCAACCCAACACAGAGGGAGTGTTAGGAGACACAGAGAAGTCTGTTATTATGGTGGAGGAAGCCGAAGTACTCGGATAGAATCACCGGGCTTCTCGTGGGAACAGACAAACCGAAGAGATTTCTATAGATTGATCTCTTTGGCCAACTGAGGCCCCCAAAGTACCCATTGTAGTTTAATCTCCGGTCTAGGTACCAGGTACCTTATTGAATAAGAAATCTGGGTCTGTTCGTCCTGATTCACGTTCGTTATAGTACATGTTCACTATGATTTTTGTCGAGCCTGCGACTTTTGTCGCAAAAGAGAGACATAGCGATCCTACATTCCGTCGTCGTCGGCGTCCACAAATATTCACTCTGTGGTTTTTCAAATTTTGATAACTTTCTTAAACTATCCTGCATTTCAACCAAACTTGGACAGAAGCTTGTTTATGATCATAAGATAGTATCCAGAAGTAAATTATGTAAAAAAAAAAATCCTATTCATCCGTATTTTACTCATAAATGGACTTTGTTTTTCTGCCAGTTAACATTACATTCACTCTGTGGTTAAAGTTTTTCAAATTTTAATAACTTTCTTAAACTATCCTAGATTTGTACCAAACTTGGACAGAAGCTTGTTTATAATCATAAGATAGTATCCAGAAGGAAATTTTGTAAAAAAAAAAATCCTGTTTTTCCGTATATTACTTATAAATGGACTTAGTTTTTCTTCCAGTTAACATTACATACCGTCTGCAGTTAAAGTTTTTAAAACATTTATTAGATTCATGAACCATCCTTGATTCTTACCAAACTTGAACAGAAGCTTCTTACAATCAAAAGATAGTATTTGGAGGAAAATTTTTAATAATTATTGCCCCACTTTTGTTGAGCCTGCTACTAACAGCAAAAGTAGGCGAGACACTGGGTTCTGTGGAACCCTTACAAATTTTTAATATAACCACAGAAAACAAGTGTACCAACACTGAATGAAATTCATATTCTTACTACAATAACTACAGACACATGCATGATTCGATCACCTGACAGGAGAAGACTCGATCAGCTGATAGGAGAAAAATGTACCCAGATGTGAAAAATACACTTTCAACACACAATAAATAGACAGTTGGTTAGAATCCCTAAATTTCCTAAGCAGGCAGTGTTCTCCCCAGGAATTTTGGATAGCATCACATTTGTCGTAAAAAAAAATTGTATTTATTTTTCAATGTCATTTGTTGCATTGCGGCGATGCTCTCTTTCTTTTAAGTTATGTTGATTTTTTTCAATTCATAACTGAGAATACAATTAAAGTATAACTGTTCTTTTAGTTTATTTTTTTAATATTCATTTATAGTTACAGAATTATATTTTTCTTGTTAGAAACTACCAACTAAAAATCTAGTACAAAAGAGAACTTCTTTTATATCAAAAAGGAAAAGAAAGTATCATATAGTAATACCATTTCAATTAAAAACTATTCTGTTTATCATGTTTACGAAATTCATTATTTCCTGGGACTCAATGTATCAGTCCCAGTTGTTTCAAACAGATATATGTTTTAAACATTGTTAAACTACTTTAATCAGTAAATTAATTGAAACAATGCGTTTACATAGAAATAAATACATTTTGCAAGGAGATCTAACAAATAGTCTGTAAATTCGTGTGGAATGAGTAGCTTTCCCTATTGGGATCATTATTATTCTGTCAGCTGTGCCGTTTCTGCGTCTGTAGTTATTACCGTAAAAATGCGGATTTTTATCATAGCTGGTCCGCTTCCGATCCGTAATTAGTACAAATATATCAATGGCGGAGTATACGTTCTACCAAGGCTACTTTACAGCCTGGAAGTTCTGCCACTAAATAATGGGGACATTAAGTTGCTAAGAGATTTCCACGTGAATTTTTTGAGACAAATACAAGCTCTTCCCTCACGGACAGCAATTTCAGCAGTATACTTACTCTTGGGTGCGCTCCCCATAGAGGCAGAAATTCACAAAAGAGTTCTTAGCCTGTTCCACTCCATCTTTTCATCTAATAACGAGAATCTAAAAAAGGCTCTAGAGAGGCAATATGTCCTGCAAACACATGAACTAACTTTCCTTAACAGAGTAGCAGATCTTTTATACATGTATAATCTTCCTCCATGGACTTATCTGAAAGATCAATTGCCATCAAAGTTATCATGGAAATGCAAGGCAAGAGAAGCAATAAACAACTACTGGAAAGTGAATCTTCAAAGGGACGCCAATAGCAAAACAACACTAAAATTTCTCTGTATCCCTAATTTAGACATTGGAAAACCTCATACTATCTGGAATAGTCTACCACCAAATATTGGCGAACTCAGGAAAGCAACAATAAAAGCAAGGCTATGCACAGGGACATATATATTTCAATCACAGAAAGCTCGTTTCTCAAATATTAACCTTGATGCAACTTGCCCAATTTGTCAACTGGAAGAAGAAGATATCATCCATTTTCTCACTCGCTGTCCCGTTCTGGAAGGCATACGCAGAGAATCTCTAAGTGTTATCAAAAGAATTACCATCAGTAAAATTGGGCTAGGAAACTGGAATTCCAACTTTCACGAGAGAACTTGTATTGCCCAACTAATTTTGGATTGTCAGCAACTGGCTCTAAACAATATTCTCCCTCATGATAACCTTTTTCTTAATTCAATAGAAGAATTAAGCAGGAACTTATGTTATAGACTCCATCTAAAAAGAGTGTCTTCTCTTAATGTCTAGTTGTCATAAGGTCAGTGTGGTTGTACCGCGCTAAACCTTAAACAACTATCTTCAACTTCATAAAATAAAATATGGCTTTTTTCTCCAATCTAAGGAATAATCATTTATGCTTCTTCGACAGTACAACTAGGTCAGTGTGGTTATTCCGCGCTAAACCTAACATCAATCTTTTACACAGAATTAAATGCTGCGAAAATCTAAATGTTCAAATCTTCATTTAATTTAGGTTAATATGGCTGTTCCACGCTATACCTTCAATTGCTTTCTTTAACTCCGTAAAATGAAACAACTGAAACAACGTTTATCTTTAATCTAAAGTCATCATAAAGGTTTTTGGACAGAGCAACTAGGTCAGTGTGGGTGTTCCGCGCTAAACCTATCAATCCTTTACGTAAAATTAAATGCTGAGAAAATCCATGAAATTTTAGAATAACTGGTCAGTGTGGTTGTGCCGCGCTATACCTATAGTTGGAATAAATGTACATGTTTATCGTTAGCTTTAATACCCAGTAGCTTCACATATATATATATATAACAGATAGATAATGGCTATGCATAATTAGATCGCTTAGGACATATAAGCTTATATGCATGATTTTGTTGATTTTATATCGCCTAGTAGTGCTCATAGACAGATGTAGAAACTCCAGCATGTAGCAGGCAGGAAGCTGAAAACTCGTTATTTTTTACCTTTAAGTAACATTGTTTAGTAAATGTAAAGATTTTTTACTATAATGCATGCCCTGTAAATAATATTCAAAACTTTTTTATTTTTAAAAATTTTATTAATAACTTTTAAACTGTGACCCATTTTTAATGTACATAGAAGTTATTATTAGTATCTTTGCAGGGATTTAACCATGTTAACTGTACATAATGTTATTTTTAAATAGTTAGGTATTCACTTAATATTTTTATAAGGATTAACCAACCTGAATTCAGTAAGGTTGGTGTACTCCAACTATTGGAGGAAGATATAGAGGAAAGAAGAAGGCGGTCGAAGAAAAATTTACGAAAATAAACAATGTTTGAGAAGAGAATTGGATGAATATATCACGATTTTACTGTAATAAATAGATGAAACATTACCTAAAGGCAATTTTCATCACGTTCTAATGAAGTATAGAACTTATTTTGCCCAGAATCGAAATGTTTTATGTACGCTCTCGAGTACCGGAATGGAAAGAAAACACTTCTTTACAAGTTGTTAGTTTGAAATAACAAACGACCAGCGTGTTAAGTTCGCTCATTTTTTTTTGTTTTTTCTTCTCTTAGGAGACGAATTTGCCTTGATTCAAACGTAGATTTTGAATTGTTTATGATTTTCTCGATGTCAAAATTATCAGTCGTGTCATAAGTGTCAGCTTGGGGTATTCGTATCCAAACAGTTATCATCCAAATGGCAATTAACACTTATTTAATCGCCTCTTATGTCCGATTTGAAGGGATTACAATTAAAGGTGATATAATTTTTATGATCACAAGCCGCAATGCGATGAAAGTTCGAAATTTAGGACATCGATATTGCGGCAATTTAAGAGCAGACAAGAAAAAAATAGCGTCCTCAAAACAATTATAGCGTCGCGGATATTATTATAGCGTCACGGTAAAAAATTATAGCATCGCGGGGCCGCGACGCTAAAACGGCCTGGGGAGATCACTGAGCAGGGTCTAATTTTGCTGCTGAAAAGAGGATTTAAGTCCCTAGAAAATCTAGAAAATCACTTAAACTTGCTCTCACTTCATAGAGAAATCATGTCACCATCAAATTTGGTATAAGGCAGACAACTTATAATTTACAAGTTGCACAGGAAAACAAAAATGACTACTGACAAGGAAAATTGAGCATTTGAAGTGGCTTAGGACTAAAATTATAGTTTCATTCGTGAAAAACATTTTTTTTTACATAAACCATACATTGATCAGATTAAATTTTTAGAGCATTAATTTAGTGGGTGATAGATCATTTTTTTAAATAACGTTTTTCCATTTGGCATGTTTGGAGTTTATAAGCATACATGTTTATTTGTACATAAACTTCTACTTTAACAAGTTACATGTAACTATTATCTATTATCTTTAAAAAAAGTTGTCTTCTATAATAAGTTCTATTATAGAATTTTTATTTTACAGGAAGTTCATTAAATACTTTTTCATCCCAGAAACGACATTCAGAATGGTAAAGTTACACATTAAGAAAGGAGATGAGAGCCAGTTTCTTTATGAAACAACAGTGGAGATGCCTGTAGATGATTTGGTAAAGGATGTCTCAGCTATATACAATGGCAGACTTAAAGTTCAGAGACTCTGTGCAGGTATATAGACATCACCTTTTTATTAGAAGTTTGCACATATATGTGTAAATGTATTAATTTTGTCACGAATCTTTTAGTTTTTTGTTGAATTTACTTGTCAAAAGTACTTAAAATATCTTATAAATAACTTCTGAGCAATTATTTATAATATATTAAGCATTTATTTTTTATAGAAACAAAAAAGGTGTATTTTTTTCTATTAGTAAGAGGTATAAGAGTCATTATCCTGTCCCTGAAAAAATAAGAAAATTCTTTGGTCCTTTAAGAGTTATGTTATTTTATTGATAAATGAACAGAATAATTTGATTTGAATGCTTCAGTGCAGAGATGTCAGGTGTGATGTCACTATGATGTCATAAACTTCTTGAAATTGACCAATTTTATCTAAAATGTCAATTTTACGCACAGGTTTTGTCATAATTAAATATTAGCCGCAACCTTTCCAAAAATAACAGTTTTTTTTCACATAGATGTCTTAGTACAAGACATACTTCAAAATTATGATAATACATCTTTAAAAATTATTCCAGAAATGGAAGAACTTGCTAAGCATGGAGTTACATTACCTCCAAACATGCAAGGTTTAACAGAAGAACAAATTGTGGATTTAAAACTTAAGGATGACTGGGGAGAGAAATGTATACCTAGTGGAGGATGGGTAGAATGTAAAGACACACTGACTATTAGAAATGGAAGAGGTAGGTGTATAGCCAAAATATGATAATAATAATATTGTCACAAGTCAGGAACCTCGTCAGTAGTTGCTGTATGCGATATCTAAATGTTTTTGTATATTCTGAGAATAGGATATATGACCTTTAATTGTTCTTTTTAATTCAATCACAACTTTTATATACACAGGACAATTAAGAGCTTGGCATAATGTAAAGACATCTATCTGTTGTTGAAGATTGAATGTTGCTCTCTAGATTTCTTTTGGTTTTTTTTATGTGGATTGTCTGCTGTCTCACTGGTATATATCCTGAATCTCCTTTTATTCAAACTAAATATAGAAATTTCTAATTATTCTGGATATTAATGTTATATTTTACTTTAGGCTAGCAGAAATGAACCAAAAACATTGTTATTCCATCCATAAATTAAATTTTGTTTTCCTTCTCGAAATATGAACTTAAAGTGAGGATGTTATTGTATTTCCCTGCTTGAGTATCTTGACATGACATATTTAAAAAAAAAAACCCAGAAAACTCAGCATTTCCCTGAATTAATCTGATCCATGTTTAACCTGTAAAGAGACTATATCATTATTAGAATACAATTTTGAATATTTTAGCACCACAGAAGAACATGGCAGATTTGATAAACAAGACAATACAAGAAGCCAAAGACATGATATCAAAGGTAATTTACAAAAAAGATATTTGATGAGAATTATAGTCATTTCGTACCCTAACCATTTCGTACCCTGGCAAAAACCATTTCGTACCCTGACAATTTCGTACCTTGACCATTTCGTACCTCATGGAATATTTATATGTATACCATTTCGTACCTCATGGAAGATTTGTATGTATAACATTTCGTACCTCATGGAAGATTTATTAGTGTTTCATTCCTTGGTAAAAATTGATTACCAATTTGATGTGTGCCATTTCGTACCTTATGGAAGATTTATATGTATACCATTTCGTACATGTGTACCTCATGGAAGATTTGTATGTATGCCATTTCGTACCTCATGGAAGATTTGTATGTTTACCATTTCGTACCTCATGGAAGATTTGTATGTATACCATTTCGTACCTCATGGAAGGTTTGTATGTATGCCATTTCGTACCTCGTGGAAGATTTATATGTGTTTTATTTCTTGGTTAAAACAGTCTCATTGACCTTTTACTGTAAGACGGTAGAGGTCACGAGAAATGTCTAAAATTTAAAATTAAAGCACCTTTGAGTCATATACATATAGGAAAAAAGTCAATAAACGAAATTCTTTGAAATCTGTAAAACTTTGTATTTAAAATATTTATTTCAAATATTTAGTAACAGTTCACTTTTCTGCCGATAAGATTGATTTTGTTACTTTTGTATACACTAGAAAATATGCAATACACACGAAAAAAAGATATTTACCAAACGTTTTTGAAATTTAGAAGGTCAGATATAAGGATACAAAATAAATGAATATGTAATTTCTCAAATTGAAAAAGCCATAGCAAGTTCTTTGATTGGTCACAAAAAGTGCAAATTCTTATGCACACATTTTTATTCATGGCTTCCTTCTTTGGTGAATATCAGCTTGTGTCCCTTTTCACTGCATTTCCCGACAAAAACAACTGGTAATAACTATAAAAACATTTGAAGATAATTATTCCTTTGTTGGTTAATTAACTTCATATTTTTAGAGTTGAAAAATTAATTTAGGATAAATCCTGCAAACAAACAAAGCGTAATTAAAACTATTAAAGTTTCCAAGTGCTGCTTAATCAAACCAATCATCGGTCTTTATAACATTTCTATGGCTGGATGCATTTTATTTATGTTATATTTAAAAAAAATCAAAATCATCTCAAAATGTTTTATATCTTAAAAAAAGATAACTTTTACAAATATATGATACGAAATAGTAAACATATATCTAGTCCATGAGGTATGAAATGGTAGATGAATTTGGCCCATAGGGTACGAAATGGTTTCTATAGTGGGTATGAAATGGTAAATGTTGGGTACGAAATGGTAATTTTGGGTACGAAAAGGCAGAAGTACGAAATGGTCAAGGTACAAAATGACTTGCTACCGATGAAAGTGAAGATGGAAACAGAAATGTGTCTAAATGTGTTTAGATTGAATCAATTAGAGCCAGACTTCAAAGTACTTTTGTTTTCTGAAGCCTTACTGATGCTTGAAATTTTTGGTCGGTCAGCAAAATATGTTTCATTTCTTAAAACTGATTTGATGAATATTTCAAGAAACAAAACCCCAAAGATGCCTTGCTGGTTTTATGGATGAAAATATAAAACTTTTAACAAATGTACTTCAAATGTATGTACATTATTTAAAGATGTGGAAAAGGGAGATAATTCTGATTTAATTTAGTTTTTATGCACTTGCCTAAGAGGAGCCTGTTGTTCAGTGGTTGTCGTTTGTTGGTGTGGTTCATAAGTGTGTCTCGTTTTTTAGCTCACCTAGCCCAAAAGGGCCAAGTGAGCTTTTCTCATCACTTGGCGTCCGTCGTCGTCGTCTTTCGTTGTCGTTGTCCATTAACTTTTACAAAAATCTTCTCCTCTGAAACTCCTGGGCCAAATAAAACCAAACTTAACCTAAATCATCCTTAGGGTATCTAGTTTAAAAATGTATCTGACAACCCCGCCCATCAACCAAGATGGCCGCCATGGCTAAAAATAGAACATGGGGGTAAAATGCAGTTTTTGGCTTATATCTCAAAAACTAAAGCATCAGGTCAAGATCTATCTGCCCTGAAATTTTCAGACATATCAGACAACCCGTTGTTGGGTTGCTGAATTGGTAATTTTAAGGAAATTTTGCTGTTTTTGGTTATTATCTTGAATATTATAATAGATAGAGATAAACTGTACACAGCAAAATTGTTCAACAAAGTAAGATCTACAAATAAGTCAAAATGACCAAAATTGTCAATTGACCCCATAAGGAGTTATTGCCCTTTAAAGTAAATTTTTGACAATTTTTCGTAAATTTTTGTAATCTTTTACAAAAATCTTCTCCTCTGAAACTACTGAGACAAATTTAACCAAACTTGGCCACAATCATCCTTAGGGTATCTAGTTTAAAAAATGTGTCTGATGAACCCGCCTGCCAACCAACATGGCCGACATGGCTAAAAATAGAATAGAGGTAAAATGCAAGTTTTGAAAACTGTTATGAACAGAGAAAATCTGACAAGGGCAAAAATGTTCAGAATGTTGAGCTCTACCAACTGTCAATTTACTTCAAAATTGTCAGAAGACTTCTTATAGGAGTTATTGCCCTAAAATGACAAATTTTACCATTTTTTTTCATTTTTGCCTATTATCTTGAAAACTATAATAGATACAGAGAAACATTAAATTGCAAAAATGATCAGCAAGACAAGTTCTAGAAATAAGTTCCCCCATTGTCGAATTCGTCAGCCTACTCCTTATGAGAGTTATTGTCCTTTGATGATGATTTTTTAAATTTTTTGCATTTTTGCCTTATTTCTTAAAAATTATAATAGATAGATAGAAACTTAAATTTGCAAAAATGATCAGCAAGAAAGATCTACAATTAAGACAATATAGAGAAAATCGTCCGAACTACTAACAAGTCAGATTTTGCTGATAAAGATAGTAGGCTGTCACTCTTTATAGGAGTGATTGCCCAGCCCCTTAAATAAGGATTTCTTTTACCCTCTTTTGTGTTTTGAGCAAAAACTAAAGAAGATAGATTGAAACTAAACAGACTAAATGATCAGCAATACAAGATCAACAAAACAGAGATTTTTCTTATGAATTCTATTCTTGTCTTCAATGTTGGAGAGTGTCCTTTGTTGAATATGCACATAGACCAAGGTGAGCGACACAGGCTCTTTAGAGCCTCTAGTTATATAGATTAGACCGTTGGTTTTCCTGTTTGAATTGTTTTACTTTAGTCATTTTGGGGCCCTTTATAGCTTGCTGTTCGGTGTGAGCCAAGGCTCTGTGTTGAAGGCCGTACTTTGACCTGTAATTGTTAACTTTTTATACATTTTGACTTGGACAGAGAGTTGTCTCATTGGCACTCATACCACATATTCTTATTTATATTAAAAAGACTCTATTTTTTTCTCAGACAGTAAGGAGTATGAATATATCAAAAGGGTTTTCATATAACCTATGTTAAAGAGTATAATAATCCTATATAGTCACTCAGTTAGCTTATTTTTCCTGGGTTCTTGACACGTTTTTCTGTCCAACAGTTCATTGTAATGAACAAGAAGACCTTTATTTTAATCAAAAGCTTCATTTGTTGTAATTGATGAAAACATTTTTCTGCACATATTTCAGAAAAAGGTACAAGCAGACTCTTTAGTTACACAAGTCACAGTCAAGGAAGCACTGGACATATTACGTGGTGCTGTGATGATTGTATATCCAATGGGATTGCCACCTCATGACAAAATAAAACAGGAGATAGAAAATGAGGAGGATTTGTCTGGAACACAGGTATACATTTGAGAAATTTTGTTTTAAAAATTGTCAAGGTACAAAACTTAAACATACAGTAGTCCAACCTGTCATTCCTTAGTAAAACTATTATGCAGTATCTGTTATTATACAAGTTTCATAAAAGACACCATTCCTGCACAAAAATTATATTACTACTGTACAAGCTAGTTAATATTTAAGACTCAGCATATAAATCCATGTCATTTTTTATCTGCAAGCTGAAAACTTGGCAAATGAGAAGAGAAAATGAGAATCACACACTAAAATTATAAAACACCAGAAGTTCTGGAAATGAAATGAATAGCACTATTATAAGTTTCTTTAAGGTTTTCAACATGACTGTCTCTAATATATTGAAAAAGCTTACCAACTTATGGAAAACTAGAAATGTAGGGTTTGAGTTAAGTGTTAGTGTTCTGTTGTACTGTCCAATATTTTTGGTGACTCCCGTTTTCCTTTTATGTACAATAATATCATACAAAATAAAAGATTGAAACTTAACAACAGAAAAAAAACAGAAAAAAAATTGTTTAATTCTTGAAATTCTATAAATGGTTGTGTTTCTTGCTTCTGATAATATAATAATATTTTCGTATACGTACATTATATATGTATTTCCTTGAAACTGTATATGATTGGTTAAGATGTTGCCACATGTTTTTAAGAGGATGGTTCATATTTACTACTCACAATTACTCAAATAATCTGTTTTCTCTTCTTTAATCTTGTAAGAATGTTAAATTTGAAGGAAATAAGTTGGTGACATTTAGATTGTTACTTACAAATGTGTTATGTTTCTTGAAGGCATCTTTAGAAATAATTGAAGAGGAAAATGCATCTATTTGGTTCTCAGGAAAAGAAATGTTAAGAGGAAAGAAACTGAGAGATTTTGTAGGAAAGAATGAAAAAACAAAAATTATAGCAAAAATCCAAAAGGTAAGTTGAAGTTGAACATAGAAAGAAAGTGTAATAACTGACTGGTTTTTGTCGAGATTGGACTTTTGTCGCAGAAAGCTCGACATAGGGATAGTGATCCGGCGGTGGCGGCAGTGGCGTAAGCTAACTTCTTAAAAGCTTTAAATTTTAGAAGCTAAAAGACCTGGATACTTCATACTTTGTATATAGATGCCTTATGTTACGAAGTTTCCGTTTGTCATATGTCCATTGTCCTTGACCTCATTTTCATGGTTCAGTAACTACTTGAAAAAAAAGTCAACATTATTTGTAATGTTAATTTCTTTCTTGTTATGAGTAATAGGATAACTTTAGTATGTGCGTACCTTGCAAGGTCCTCATGCTCTTCAGACCTCATTTCATGGATCAGTGAACAAGGTTAAGTTTTCGTGGTCAAGTCCATATATCAGATACTATAAGCAGTAGGTCTACTGTATTTGGTATATGGAATGATTGTAAGGTGTACATGTCCAACTGGTAGGTGTCATCTGACCTTGACCTCATTTTCATGGTTCAGTGGTCAAAGTTAAGTTTTTGAGTTTTGGTCTTAGTTCTAATACTATATGCAATAGGTCAACTATATTTGGTGTATTGAAATATTTTATGATGTACATGTCAGTCTTGCAGGCTTTATTTGACCTTGACCTCATTTTCACGGTTCATTTCTCAGTGTTAAGTTTTTGTGTTTTGGTCTGTTTTTCTTCAACTATAAACAATAGATCAACTATATTTGTTGTATGGAAGGATTGTAAGGTGTATATGTCTGTCTGGCAGGTATCATCTGACCTTGACCTCATTTTCATGGTTCATTGGTCAATGTTAAGTTTTCATGGTTAAGTTTGTTTCTTAGATACTATAAACAATAGGTCAACTATATTTAATGCATACATTGATTGTAAGGTGTACATGTCTGTCTGGCATGGTTCATCTGACCTTGACCTCATTTTCATGGTTCATTGGTCAATGTTAACTTTTCTTGGTTAAGACTGTTTCTTAGAAACTATAAGCAATAGGTCAACTATGTTTGGTTTATTGAATGATTGTAAGGTGTACATGTATTTCTCATTTGGTTTATCTGACCTTGACCTCATTTTCTTGGATCATGTTAAGGTTATGTGTTACTTGTAGTAAAGCTTTATATTTAGGACTATCAACATAAAATCAATGGTTAGTAAAGAAGGCGAGACATTTCAGCGTGTGCACTCTTGTCTTATTAACCTGAGCATTGAGCTCTCCAGTAAGGAAATGTAGGAAACTTTCTTGTCTGCTATTGTAAAGTGGTTATTAGAATAAAATACAAAACATAAAGTATGGTAATTGATATATCCACCAAAGTTAAAAGCTAAATAAATTTCTCAACATTAACTGAAACAAGGAATATGTTATGTTTCATTTGATAACATGCTCAACTATATTGTTTTGGTTGTTAGGTTTGTTCTGATTTTGATTGACCTTTTATCCTTGGTGTTTCTATCCTTTACCATAATTAGTTTATTAAAATTTTATTCTATTAGCCATCTTGCATTGGTCCTTTTTTCAAATTTTACACAACAGTTGTATATCTCTGTCTGTCCCATATCCACACATTGTAAAACAACTAGAGGATACTTTGACCAAATAAAGCTCCCTTACGATTGTTTTTTACAATATTTACCTAAAAAGGGAATTATTTTAAATCCTGCCCATTCAATTGAAATGAAAATGATGGGTATTTGTTTGTTAGAATGTCATCTGAACCAGAACCATACATCAGAGTTAAGTCATCTGAACCAGAACCATACATCAGAGTTAACATCATTTTTGATAATATCCTCAGTGAGGATTCATGTTTTAATTACAATTACTATAATATTACCTGTTATTTGATGAAGAAGTTGATTTCCCTTATTTTGCTTTTTAGTTAATTTAAAAAAAAAAAATCACTTTCAAAATTCTTTAAGTTATTATTTTGGTACTAAATTACTGTCTCTGCATAAAAGGTACGGCTTGTATGTTTACTTCCCAGCTTCAAAATTGCTGGATTGGTTGTTGACAGGGTTTTGCCATCACTTTCACCAAAATAAACAAATTCTTTGCTACTTCTTTTTTAAAGGCTTATGATTTTATGTAATCTGTCTGTCTTGACCTGCGCAGCTAATGCAATTGATAAAAGTCTAATACATTTTTAATGTAAAAAATGAGGTCTTCTGAATGACAACTAAGCAATCCAGTTTCGTGTTCCAAATTCATAAATTTTGTTGCCATATTTATACAGAAGAACCTCTTCAATGGTGACTTTGTTCTTGAATATGCAAGTAAACAAAAGCAGTAAATTTTTAGCTCACCTGGCCCAAAGGGCCAAGAGAGCTTTTCTCATCACTTGGCCTCCGTCGTCCATTGTCGTCGTCGTCCGTCGTCGTTAACTTTTACAAAAATCTTCTCCTCTGAAACTACTTGGCCACAATCATCATTGGGGTATTTAGTCTAAAAGATGTGTCCGGTGACCCGGTTAACCAACCAAGATGGCCGCCATGGCTAAAAATAGAACATAGGGGTAAAATGTAGATTTTGGCTTATATCTCTGAAACCAAAGCATTTAGAGCAAATCTGACATGGGGTAAAATTGTTTATCAGATCAAGATTTATCTGCCCTGAAATTTTCAGATGAATCCGACAACCCGTTGTTGGGTTGCTGCCCCTGAATTGGTAATTTAAAGGAAATTTTGCCGTTTTTGGTTATTATCTTGAATATTATTATAGATAGAGATAAACTGTAAACAGCAATAATGTACAGCAAAGTAAGATCTACAAATAAGTCAACATGACCAAAATTGTCAATTGACCCCTTAAGGAGTTATTGCCCTTTATAGTCAATTTTTTACAATTTTCATAAATTTTGTAAATTTTTGTAAATATTTACAAAATATTTCCCACTGTAACTACTGGGCCAAGTTCATTATAGATAGAGATAATTGTAAGCAGCAAGAATGTTCAGTAAAGTAAGATCTACAAACACATCACCATCACCAAAACACAATTTTGTCATGAATCCATCTGTGTCCTTTGTTTAATATGCACATAGACCAAGGTGAGCGACACAGGCTCTTTAGAGCCTCTAGTTACATATTGCAAATTCAGAAATTATCGTGAGGTTTTTATCAGTTCGATTATTGCAACTGGGTGAGTATGGCAATAATAAGAACTCACATTCTGATATCTGATACATATATCTGTATGCAGCGTTTCCTGAAATTGCAATAATTTATCTCACATTTGTTGTCCATTCTTTAAAAATCACAATAATAAATGCACATAATAATTTCTGAATTTGCATAAATTTGTCAGTGAGTTTGGGTCTTATATATCCAGTAACTGGTAGTCCCCATCTAGAATCAGAATGATATTTCTATTGAAAGACCATTTTTCCTTTTTGAGAATGAGGGAAATAATGACAGTGTTAACTGTCAGCAGAAACCAAATAGATTTTGTTTCTAAAAATACTTTAAGCTTAAATTTCATAGTATTTGACACACAGTAGGATAACATTTGTCCAGAGGGGGATAACATTTTTGTAATTAAAAGTTTATTGACTGCTATTTCTTTAATCTTTACAGAGAGGACAAGGAGCTCCTGGCAGGGAACCAGTTGTTAGTGAAGCTGAACAGAAACAGATGATGGCATATTACTACAAGAAACAGGAAGAAATGAAGGTTTGTATGTTACAGAATCTAAAAAATCCATCAAAATCTTGGGTTTACTAAAACAGTCTTATTGTTTAAGACCACACTAGACCTAAAGATTTATTATTTCCATTATATTGATAAACAGGATTTTCTTTTTAATAACATCTACTACTGTGAATTCATTTATTTTCGTGGGTACCAATTTTCATGGATTGAGGAAACATGTACTTCCATGAATATTTGATTTTGTTGTTTTGGAACATTAAAATTCATGGTTTACCAATACCCACAAATTCCACAAAAATTGGTATCCCAGGAATACTAATGAATCCATGTAGCATATATATATGTTGGTTTAAACAATATTTATTCAATAAATCAGATCATGATAATATGTTAAAGATAATACATTATAAACAACTGGATCCAGAAATAAGCAACATTGCTTATTTTAATCTATCTACAAAATAAATGTATATTTTAATAAAACAATTGCAAAAATTTATGAATTTACAGAAATAAATTTATATAAAAATAAGGAGATGTGGTATAACTGTCAATGAGACAGCTATCCACTATAGTTCTAATGAATCGGATGTAAGCAATTATAGGCAACCGAAGGCCTTCAACAATGAGAAAAACCCATACCGTATAGTTGGCTATAAAAGACCCCGACATGAAAGATATGAAACAATTCAATTGAGAAAATAAACGGCTTAATTTATAACAAAACAATTTATGAAAACAAAGATATAACGAACAAACGACAACCTCTGAACTACAGGCTCCTGTTTGTTCATGATCATAACATCAAACTTAATGCTTATCATTTCCCTTTACAGAAACTTGAAGCAGAAAGTGAGGAAGCCTACTTAGATTCAGATTGGGCTGACAATGCACAACTCAAGAGAAATTTCCATGGACTCAATAACATCAAATGGGGACCTAAATAAGGCTGTTTTGTTTGTAACAACCATCCGTATGTGTTCAAATTAATTATGGAAGATATATCTGTATTACATATTCTTCTGTTTGAAATTTTCATATGTACCGGTACTGGCTCTGTTTTTACGATTATATACTGTATATTCAGAAATTGGAATGGAAATATGTCAGCAGCATTGCTGCTTAAACTGGATACAAAATAGACCATTTGGCTATCTGAAGATACAACAGAGATCATAGTTTTGATTCAGTTTGCATCCTTTTTAGGTGAAATGATGATGTGACCTTTGATGCATTGATTATGAAATGTATGTCTTTAAATTAATCTTATTTGGTGCATTTGTTTACAAATGATAACATTTTCTAAGCGAGCCTTGAAAAGGTTCATGTTGACATTTTAACTATTAGACATTGTTTTGACTCTCTCATTATGTTTCCATTATATTCATTATTTCATTTACCTTTTTGTAATGTCCTGTTTTTTTGTGATAGTTGTTTTGCATAGTTTTAACTCCCATGGCAAACTCTTAGAATTAGCATTAAAGGTACCAAAACACCTTTTGTATTGTGTTTTCTCAAAGCTGTGAGAGGGCTTGTTTTAATCTAAATATTTATATTTGCATGAATGAAAAGAAAGGCAGAATATACTTAAAGGAGGCAGCAACCCATAAAACCTAAAAAAAAATCATTGTGGTCTACCTGAAACAAAATGTTATATTTTCCCTTACATACAGTATATCAAGAATTCCATAGCATATTGGTGATTGTTAATTCACTCACCAATATATTCCTATTGCTGTATATCATTAATCATTCACAAAAATCTGAGGAAAATAAGTAATACATGCAAAAATCACTGCTTATCACATATGGTCAGCAAAACATGACCATGATTTATTATGTATTAAAACTAATAACAGTAAGTTTCCTGGATTTTTATTGGATAATAGCTGGTGTATTTTTCATGCATTTTCTTTTTAATACCATCAAGTATAGTTGTCATGAACAATGGGCATCAAATTATTGTTGTTTCATACTCAAACAAAAGTGATTTTTCTTGAATATTTATAGTGGAGTTTGATGTGATTTTAATTTTGTTGATTTTTCTCATGTCCCAAATAAATAGAAATAATCCACAGATAATTCTTTTTGCTTGCATAAGTGATATGAAATTTGTCATTATATACAGGACTCTTTTAGCTTATACTTTGTGGTATCTGTAGAGTTCATAAAACTGACTAACATTACTTTTGTTCAAATAAAGAATAATTTTGGACTTATCAAACATTGCTCCCATCCACTCAGAATGTCTTAGTGAGAAGTTTGACTAAGTTCATTGAGTTTGACATTTTATGAAATAAATTGTATTTTAAAACAAATGTTATTACTTGATATTGTTCTGCATTATTTATTTATTGTATTGTGAAATTAAAATATTAATGATGTATTTCTTACATTAATGAAAGAATTAAACAGTATTTTTATGGCTTTATTCTCCTTTTTATATGATACTTATAAATGTTTTGATTGATGGTCAATATTATACAATTACTGTCTTTTGATGAGGCAAATATGTGGTTATATTGAATTTAAAAAAAATTGATATTCACTGAGGCCAACAGTAAATATCTCTCTTCTTCAGGGTTATCCTGTTTTATGCCAAATCAAGTTTGTATAGAAAATCAACTAAGATAATATCAAAATGGAAAAACATCCTATAAAAATCACATTGCTGTAGTCTTATATCATTGCTAAGGTAGAGGTACAAGTCTAGCTTAGTCATTTAGTGAAGTGGTATGGTTCACTTGATTTGCCAGTTTATGATATGGTTTGTCTGACAGTAACATGTCAATGATCAATGTTATGCGTAGATGACGTTCACTTTAATGCATTTTTCGTACATTTCAGTCACAATCCTTATGTTATTATTTCACAGTAAATTTAATAGTTCATTGATGTTATTTACACCGACTGACCGGAAGAGTCGTGTATTGTAACCACTAACAAAGAAAACTTACCATCATCAAATTGTGCAAATGATAGAAACCGGTGATCATTTGGTTTTCTAATGTTGATTTAGAAAGGAATTATACTTTGAGCATTCCTTTCAATAACTGGTCAAAACTGAGTTAGTTGTGCAACAGGACTTAATTTAAGATATAATAATTTGTATGCCCCACCCAGGGGTATTATGTTTTTCGGTCTGTGCATCCATTCGTCTGTCTGTCTGTTCATCCATCCATCCGTTCGTCCGTCTGTCCCTTTTCAGGTTAGAGTTTTTGGTCAAGGTAGTTTTTGATGAAGTTGAAGTCCAATCAACTTGAAACTTAGTACACATGTTCCTTATGATATGATCATGCCAAATTAGAGTTTTGACCCCAAAATCACAGTCCACTGAACATAGAAAATGATAGTGCGAGTGGGGCATCCGTGTACTATGGACACATTCTTGTTTCCTATAATTTCTATTTATCATGATCTTCTATACTTCCTTGCAAACAAAGTCTAGGGGTATATAGGAATCACCATTTCTGTCTGACCGTCTGTCTATCTGTTCTGCTTCATGTACGGGGCATAACTTTTGTACCATAAAAGTTAGGTTGACCAAACTTGGTATGCAGTTGCATCATGAGCCAGGGGTGTGTCATATACCAAAGTCAGGTCACTCTTACCTTGACTTTGAAATATGACCCCTATGATAGTAAAACCTCTTGATTTATGTGCATAACTTTTGAAAAATAGAACTTAGGTTGACCAAACTTTGTATGGTGATGCATCAGGGGATGGGTGTGTGTCATATATCAAAGTCAATTCACTCTGACCTTGAATTTGAAATTTGACCCCTAAAATAGTTAATCATTGTCTTCTTTGTGTTTGTAATTAATTTTTGTACTGTAGCACTTGGATTGAAAAACCTTTGTATGTAAAAGCATACTGATCTTGATTTTACATTTATCATTTTCAATTGTGGTATCTATTAAAGTTTTCATCATAATAGGCAAAATCTCTATAATTGATTAAAATGCATCATTTAATGGTATAAATACTATTAGAAGTCATCTAACAAGTATGGAAAAAATAGAAAAAAAGGTAGATCTTGACATTCTGCCACATTTACTCAGCCACATTTTCTCCATATGATATCCCCTGGACGTTAAGGGCATACGATACATTTACAGGGGAGGTTATGACGGTGCTAATGTAAAACAAATGAAATATCAGAAAAAGATGCATTTTATGACTGATTTTAATCATTAGCTTGAAAACAAGTACCGGTACATGGATCCCTCTTTTTTAAAATGGCATTTGGCTTGAATATGTATGAAGATTATTTTTAACAATTTTTATGAAAAAATCACTGATGAATTTTTTTTTTAATTAGATAAATGTACTGCAAAATAGGCCGTTTTATTTCTAAAATCATGAAAATTTAGTATAATTTGATATTACCAAAAAAATTATTTCACAAATTTAGGGCTTACTTATGTAAAGAAGATATTCCAAATGTTTTTACAAAAGTCTGCTTGTGTTTATCTTTGAAATAAAAAAGTTAGGTATGTCTGCCTGAAGAATAAAAATGTCCAAGAAACCGAAGTTTTGAGTAAATGTCTAAAATTTCGACCCCATTTATCTCTAAAAGTAGATCATGAAAGTATATTTTTTATTACATATTTGAATTGACTAGGTGAAAAGTAGCTTGTATGCAAATTTTCGTAAAAAAATAACCATGGGATCAAAACTGTATCTTATGCCCTTAAGCATCAAACAATTAATCAATCAATATACATGTATTATCATTTTCAAGATAGTATACTGTTACTTGCATTTAACCTGTATGTTCTAATTTTATCCATGACACGCAAAGTTGGTTAATGAACTGAAATATAATTTACATTTATTGTTTGATACACCCTTAAGGATCAATCATGCAGAGTTTTTTTAGGATTGGTTCTGTAGTTTTGGATAAGAAGATTGTAGAAAAAGTTCATGACAGCTGATGACACGATAACCAAGTGAAAACAAAATCCAACAACACCAAAGTAAACAAAACAAGACCAATCCTGTGTCTGGACCTGTGTTTTTAAACAACCGACTCCATCACCATAAAAATTGGAAATTCTCATTTGAATTAAAAAATCAAAATGCATGAATATGGTTGTGAAGAAAATTATAAAATCAAAAGGTCAAGATCTTCAAGATGCAAGTTCTTTTAATAAGCCTTGGTAAATATTTTTCTCTCTTGAGACCAGGTTCTGGCTTTTTAAAAACATTTGACAGCAGTAAGATTTCATCACCTGTTTTCAGGAAATGAGTCAAGAAAATGTATGTATATGGTTGTGAAAAAAACAATGAAATCAAAAGGTCAAGATGCAAGTCCTTTTAATAAGCCTTGAGAAATATTTTTTCTCTCTTGAGACCAGGTTCTGGCTTTTTAAAAACATTTGACAACAGTAAGATTTCATCACCTGTTTTCAGTAAATGATTTAAGAAAATTATCAACTAGATATGAACGATGCCCCCTCTACTCTGGCATATGCATGAGTATAGTTCCACATACCGTAGATTTCACAAACAGTGATGTTGAAGTACACCTTGAATTTGTTGCGCTGTCTGTAAGACAAATGATGCACCCGCCTGACCATAAGAAATTATAAATTTAACACTATGTATGATGATCTATCTTTTATTTTTATTCTGAATGTCTACACTTGAAGGACTGAATGTCCAGCCAAAAGGTTTCAACTATCCAGTTTTAGTAGTCACCAAGTTCAACTTACTATTTCCAGTGGTCACCAAGTTCAACTTCCCAGTATTGATTAAATATTTGAAATACTAAAAAATCTTATTTATTGCATTAGGGACATTAAACTGTAGTAGCACAAACCATGTTTTCAATTATATAGCAAATGAGAAGGAAATGAAGTCCAACTACCGGTTTTTGTGAATATCTAACATAGATAAAAGAAGATGTGGTATGAGTGCCAATGAGACAACTCTCCTTCCAATTTCACAATTTGTAAAAGTAAACCATTATAGGTCAAAGTACGGCCTTCAACACGGATCCTTGGCTCACACAGAACAGCAAGATATAAAGGGCCTCAATAATGACTAATATAAACCATTCAAACAGGAAAACCAATGCCCCCTTTCTGATTTTTAGTACAAAAAAATTACTAAGTCCAAATACCTAGCATTTTGAGAATATTAAAAAAAATCAAAATCCTGTGGACATGCACACTTCCATTATGTGTACAAACAATCTACAAAATATTAAAGCTGTACCTCAAAAACTGTAGGAGCAGATAGCCGGACAACTATGACCTCTTTATGTAGCTAGTACCAAAAAATGACTAAGTCCAAATACCTGGCATATTGAGAATATTTGAAAAAAAATCAAAATCCTGTGGACATGCACACCTCTATTATGTGTTGAAATGTTCTAAAAAATATTAGAGCTGTAGCTTAAAAACTAGGATGAGACAGCTGGACAAACCATATATCAATATCTAGACAGACAAACGGATGGACAGACTGACAGGGGTAGATTAATATGCCCTCGACATTTTTTTTGGGGGCATAAAAAAACAGGTAAAGAATGATGTTACCTTTATACCACTTACACCAGATAAAAGTAACTATAATACCACATGAGTGCACACGCTGAAATGTCTCGCCTGCTTTACTGACCATTGATTTTATGCTGATAGTCCTAAATATCAAGTTTTACTTCAAGCATCACATTAAAAGTTATGATCCAAGAAAATGAGGTCATGGTCAGATAAACCAAGCCGGAAATACATGTACACATTTAATACAATCATTCCATACAACGAATATAGATCACCATTTGCATATAGTATAAAAGAAACAGACCATCTCATGGAAATTTGATATTGACCAGTGAACCATGAAAATGAGGTCAAGATCAGATGAATCCTGCCAGACAGACATATACACATTAAAATTATTCCATGCATCAAATATAGTTGACCTATTGCTTATAGTATCTAAGAAACAAAGTTAACCAGGAAAACTTAACATTGACCAATGAACCATGAAAATGAGGTCAAGGTCAGAATATACCTGCCAGACATACATATACACCTTACAATCATTCAATGCAGCAAATATAGTTGACCTATTTCTTAAAGTTTAAGAAAAAAAACGACCAAAACACAAAAACTTTACATTGAGCAATGAACCGTGAAAATGAGGTCAAGTCAAATAAAACCTGCCATCTTAAAATATTTCCATACACCAAATATAGTTGACCAATTGCATACAGTATTAGAAAAACAGACCAAAACAAGAGACCAATCTAACAAGCAAAATTAACCAGGAAAACTTAACTTTAACCACTGAACCATGAAAATGAGGTCAAGGTCAGATGACACCTGTCAGTTGGACATGTACACAATACAATCGTTACATACACCAATAATAGTAGACCTATTGGTTATAGTATCTAAGATATGGACTTGACCATGAAAACTTAACCATGTTCACTGATCCATAAAATGAGGTCAAGGTCAAGTGGAAACTGTCGGACAGGGATGAGGACCTTGCAAGGTACGCACATACCAAATATAGTTATCTTATTACTCATAATAAGAGAGAAATTAACATAACAAAAAATCTTAACTTTTTTACAAGTAGTCACTGAACCATGAAAATGAGATCAAGGTCAATGGACATATGACAGACGTAAACTTCATATCATAAGGCATCTTAGTATATACAAAATATGAAGCATCCAGGTCTTCCACCTTCTGAAATATTAAACTTTTAAGAAATTAGTTAACGCCGCCGCCACTGGAGGAACACTATACCTATGTAGAGCTTTCTGCGACAGAAGTCGCAGGCTCAACAAAAACTGAATTTTATGATAAGCACTATATTTCTGCATTGCACTGTTTATAATTGTAGGGCACCTGTCAAGTTTTCAAATCTAGGTCTGTTTGTCACTATTTGTTGCTGACTCTGAAGCAAGTCAAGAAGGTACATCTACTGCATAGAGCTTGGTTGTTGGTGTATTATAGAACCATTGCCTTTTTTTTCAAAAGGTCAACATCTTCAAGACGCAAGTTCTTTTAATAAGCCTTGGTGAATATTTTTTTTCTGTGACCAGGTTCTGGTTTTTTTTTTAAATATTTTACAGCAGTAAGATTTCATCACATGGTTTCAGTTATTCAGTTAATGAATGTTGAAAAGAACACTTTAAAATTTTGTGCATCTGAAGCACTTTCCTGGATTAACCTTTATCTGGATTTCTCAAACCCAAAATTTTGAAGGGCAAGGAAGTATAAGTACCTAAGCACTTGAAGATCTATATGATAATAAAAGAAGAATGTGTGTGAGGACAGAAATGTCCCCCCCTCAAGCTTGCTTATAATATGTGAAAATACATTTGGGACAGACCTAAGGACGGACTAAAAGATGAACAGAGGGATGGACGGACAGACGGTCAAGGGTAACACTTAATGCCCCTTCGTCTATTGGTGGGGGCATAAAAAAGAGTCATAAAAAGAACCACTAAATTCGTGAAATGTCAACTTTGCATGGGGGAGTTGTAACTTAATTATCTTAGTAATTCCTTAATTTATCAAAGGACAATTTAAGAAAACTTAGTAATAAATCATGCCAGTACAGAAGCACCGACTACTGAGCTAATGATATCCTCTGGGACTAACGGTCCACCTGCAGTGGTATAGTAGATACTTTCAGTTTGATTTAACTTTTTCAAAGTAAGAAAACAACATGTTGTGCAAAGTATATCATTTTTAATTAATGCATAACAACTTTCATACATATACAACATGAAATATAAAATGGCCCTAGTTTTCAAATGTCCTTATGTAAATGCAAAATACAAAACTTCAAAGCCATTAAAAAGTAACATGCATGTAAAATATTACATTTTAAGTCACTTTGATGTAAAATGTTACATTGAAAGTAACATGCAATTAAAAATGTTACATATAAAGTTACTTTCAAGTAAAATATGATATTTCATGTCACTCTGCTGTAAAATGTTACATTGAAAGTAACATGCCAGTAAAAATGTTACATTTGAAGTAATATGCAAGTAAAAAAGTTATATTTAACGTAAAATGCAAGTAAAAATGTTACATTGAACGTAACATACATGTATAACATTACATTTTAAGTTATTTTTATGTAAAATGTTACATTGGAAGTACCATGCCAGTAAAAATGTTACATTGAAAATAACATGCCAGTAAAAATGTTACATTGAAAATAACATGCCAGTAAAAATGTTACATTGAAAATAACATGCCAGTAAAAATGTTACATTGAAAATAACATTCATGTATAATATAACATTTAAAGCAGATCATATGAACTTGTTAATAGTTCACTAAAAACAAAATGAAATGCATACAATACATACATTCTTCAACATAATAAAGTAAAAATAACAATTGACAGCACTTGTTATATTGATTCTTTTCAAATGGAGGTATCTTGTTTTTTTTTATGTTTCTCTGAAGAAAAAACTAATTAATGTATAATTTGATTGTATTACTATAAAATGTTCAACAAATGTACCAAACCTTCATAATCTAATCTGTAGCAGTGAAAAAAAGATTGACAAAAAAATGCCAAGAGTTATATTGTCTTTGGAATTTTTTAGCTTGTTCATTGAAATTAATAATGCACAGGCCATCTAATTGAACAATTTTCTTCAGCTCCTTTGAGACACAAAGTCGTAAAAATGATAAAAAATTATCACATCAAGCACTCTTCTTCCTCTACCTGAACTACAATGGAACATGATGGTAAAATTATTTCAGAGTGACCTATTTTTGACCAAAAAACAGACAAAAACACAAAAACTTAACATTGACCAATGAACCATGAAAATGGGGTCAAGGTCTGATTGTACTTGCCAGACAGGCATGTACACATTACAGTTATTCCATTCACCAAATATAGCTGACCTATTACTATTAGTATTTGAAAAACAGACCAAAACACAAAACCTAACATTGACCAATGAACCATGAAAATGAAGTCAAGGTCAGACGATACCTGCCAGACAGACATGTACACCTTACAATTATTCCATACACCAAATATAGTTGACCTATTGCTTATAGTATTTGAAAAACAGACCAAAACACAAGTACATAAGATTGACCAATGAACCATGAAAATGAGGTCAAGGTCATATGAACCTGCCAACTGACATGTACCCATTACAATCATTCCATACACCACATACAGTTGACCTACAGCTTATAGTATTTGTGAAAAGGACCTAATCACGTAACTTTAACCTTGAACACTGATCCATGAAACGAGGTCAAGGTAAGGTGACCCTGTCTGGCTGACATGTAGATGTTGCAAGGAACCCAAATACCAAATATAATTATCCTATTACTCATAATAAATGAGAAGTTCACATGACAAAAAAAAATATTTTTTTTCCAAGCAATCATTGAACCATGAAAATGAGGTCAAGGACAATGGACATATGACAGACGGAAATTTCGTAACATAAGGTATCTGTATACAAGATATGAAGCATCCAGGTCTTCTACCTTCTGGAATTTAAAGCTTTATACAAATAGTATACTCCACCGCTGCCACCGCCTGATAGTAATACCAAAGTTTTGCATACTGCAACTTTCGTCACAGGCGAGACAAAATTAAATGAAAGGTTCAATACAAATACAAAAAGATGTGTGCATTGTTTTCTATGCATGTCCCAGAAACAAAATCAACTAATGGTTCCAAGGAGGTTGAATTGACCCAATTCAATTTGTTCCTTGAATGTTAGAGGAATCATTCAGATTAATTTGGTCTATGAATGGACCATTATATCATATAGACGATGCTTGCATTTATTTCCCACAGGGTCCTCATCAATAATTTTAGTTCCCTGGTGGTGGCTATGTTTTATTATATACTATAAGAATAACAATCAAATTATCCTCAATGAATTATATTTAATTCCTCTGTGAAGGAGTTTCCATAAAATAACTCCTTAGTAATAGCACAAAATTTATCCTAAACCACTATTTGTCATCCATGATAAATGTTCATTCAGTCTATTGACACTTTCTACCAACATTCTGTTTACAAAGTCCACTCCTACCAACCAGTTTCAAGATCAAAGGTCAGTTATCTAGAATAATGCTAACAAATCCCTAAGAAAGAAAGTATTTTATCGTGTTGTAAATGATATCGTTGAAGCCCCATTACTAGTGATTTAAGTAAGCAAAGGCCTGAGAAGCAATATAATATATCTATTTAGCTGAGAATATGATACCCGTGATTTTCTAACTGAACACATTGTATAAAACACCCAATACAAGCATAGAACAAGACATGCCATCATCTATGTGGAAGACCTAATTTGCAATAGCATGAAAGGAATCTTATTTGTAAATCATTGTACTATGAAATTGTTTTGGTGGGAAAGAAGTTAAGAAGCTATGAAAAAAAGTTGGTTTTGAGACTAAGTTGAACAAGAATATTTGTTTGCGAGTTAACTAAGATATCTTTTCTTCTAACTTATAAATATTAGGATATAATTAAATTTGATCTCCCTTTTTATTACCGGGCTACGATAGTAGAGGGGAATTATTTTCTGGTCTGTGTGTTTGTCCGTCAGTTCTGTATCAGTTAAAAGTTGGGTTTAAGATAGGTTCAAGTTTTTTTTAAGTTATTTTTGTGGTCACATCAACTCAAAACTGAGTACTTATGTTCATCATGATGTTAATTTTAAAATAATATGCTAAATCAGTTTTTATATGCAAGATTTCACGGTTCTCTGAACATGCAAATGTGATAGTGTGAGCAGGACATGGTATCCTTTAGTTTAAAATTGGTGCATGATTAAATCATTCATACTCAGAAATAAACATTGGCATTTTTTCAACTGGAAATACTCATTAACAGAATTTTAATTCAAAATACACAAAAATATATATATATTGCATCCTTGTATATATAAATATAAATTAATGGGCTGTACAATATATACATAACAAAAATGATTTCATAAAATGGGCAGGTAACTCTTCATAGACCTGACTAGTAGATAGATGAATAGGTGCCCTGGTGTGAAAATTAGTGTATTTACAATAAGCTACCATTACATAACATATAGGCATTTTTTATCTTAAGAAAGTTCTAATATAAGAGTTAAATACATAGTGTTTTACAACAATGATGATAATGACCAAATCTGCAGTAATGCAAATTTCCCCCTTTTATGAATTCAAAAATTGCATCCTGTTTACAAAATGCATGACAACATTGATGATGACCGAATCAGCAGTAAAAAAAATTATCCTGTTTCATTAATTCAAAAATATTTTCAGATATTGCTCCATCTATATAATTTGTAAATTTTTTAACATTCTTTCTATCCTAAATGATTGATTGAATGACTGTTGTATGTCCAGTGACAAATATTTCATGCATATCTAGGACAACTCTCTACCCTTATCATTTCTTACTAAAACTCAAACATTTTTTTTTCTATTCATGTTTTTCAAATATTTCAACTGTAAAAAAAAACCAAGCAAACCAATTTACCTTTATTTTTACTAATTTATATCAATTTCAAATAATAAGTTTTCATAAATATGTTTTTTTTAATATATAATAAAATCTTCGTAAAAAGTAACCTCATTTATGAATAGCTTTTATTTCAAATTTATACATGAACAACCTTATATTTAAACAAACTGTGAAATTATGAACTAGTTATGCTAATTATTTTTACGTCCCAACTAAGAACATAACTTTAATAAAATCTAAAATATGAAATTTAGTCAACATTACAAATAGTTTAAAGTTATGTATTTTTTTCATGATTTAAACTGCAAGAGAAACTGCTCAGTGACATCATTAAAGTATGAAAAAAATTATTGTGTAGAATATTTTATAAAATAGCTTTGGTAAAAAAACATCATGAAATGAAAATAGAAATACATTGCAAAAACTGTAAACATAAAATAAAATTTAATGTACTTAAAAACTTTCTTTCATAATTCATAACAAATAAGCTAAAATGATCTTAATATATAAAGTTTAAAAGCAGTGAGATATGTATAAAAATGCTGCCATAACTAAATGTAAAATGGAAGAATTTGTTCATTCACATATATAAATAACATACATGCATATAACAACATACACAAAATAGAATTTCATATTATAAAACACAAAATGAGATGTTACATCAAACTTAATCTTTTTTATCTGTTTTACAGTAGAATGATTTCACCACCATTTGCTTTAGCAAAATGAAACGAAATTTGATAAGACTGACATTATTTCAAGCGTTATTGCTGTAACCTTAACCAACTAATTTGACCTTGGTTCTTAAACTTTACTCACCGAGGTTTTATTTGGATCTAAGAACATAGTACACAAATATTGCCCTAACCGGATTCTTTTTTTTTATCTGACCTTGGCCTTACAGATATGACATTGTATCAAGGTCAAAACACAAACTTTGATCATGGGTAACAGTTGTGTGAAGCTTTACACAGATCAAAATCTGTACTACAAAACTTTAGACTTGGAAGCCATTTCAATATGAGATACTTTAGTCAAGGCCAGAACATCATATTTGTGTCACAGGTACTTAAATTATGGTATGTGAAGAATATACTAAATCCTAGAATGCAGTACAAATAAAGGGTATTGACCTATCTTTTATGCATGTATCAGCTATGAATCTGCTCTTAAAGATGTGATGTTGAAGTGATGTTGCAACATGGCCAAAACAACTTTAGGAAATGGGCAATAAATTGTGAATGTATGACATGGAAACAAGAAGGCAGAACAAATTAATAGTTTTGACAAAAAGAAGAGGGTAGACATGATCCCTTTGTAAACCCAAAAATAATTCTATTTAGAAACACAGCAGCAGGGGTCAAATATGTTTCTAACTAAGAAAGAGACTCACAAAGTCCAAAACACATTGTATTCAAATACACTGCCCTATTTCAAATTATATGGAATTATTTCCATATCTACTCTAGATCTAAATGCAAAATACATAGTATGTAGTTCAAACATTGAACTTTGGTTGTACATGTATATTTATTAAATAGTTTTAAAAGAACGGAATTAACAGTTTGCCCTTTATTTGATACAGCCATTGACAGTATGGTGAATATAGATTATAAAACATTCTTTCAATCAGACATTTTCATTTGAGGTATAGAGTTCTTGTATTCGTTGTCACATATATTTCATGGTATCTTTTAACTAATGTATAAAATATTGACATTTATTGCCTCATGTTAACTTCATGGTCATACCTACATGAATAAATAAGAACTACTCTCTATGAAAAAAACTTCTGACAAAATTAATGCTAAAATTTAAGTTTAAGGTTTCTTGATACTAAACTCATGTATTGAAAAAAAAATCTGAATTAACAGTTTTAAGAATGTCTTGAATGAACTAAAAAACTTCAACTAGATCTGAATTGTCTTGCATACTTGTAATGATAAATAACAAAAGAATATTTTTTGAAAAGTACAAAATTTGAAGACAGAAAATGTAGATACACAACAACAAAAAATTTAAGATGCTTCTCAAATACATGTAAACTTTCTTTGTTACCCTAAAATAAATGTATATTATTGCAATTTGTTAAAAATATTTCCAAACACACAGTAACAAACAAAACATGAAATATCCATCAATGCATACACAAACTCCAAATTTGAACTTTTAGTCACTTGTACAAATAAAGTTTTGATCAAGCTACAACCATCAAATATTCAGATATAGTTTTCACATCAGATCATTGCACACATTTACTATAACATTCCAATCACTACATTACAATCTGAACTGTTACACAGATTAAAAAAAGAGCACCTTAATATCATGTGACTTAGCCATAATAGTTGTTTATCACTCTGTCATTCTGATCAAGACTTAATAATGTCCCTCGTCGCTGAAAAGGATCTCCATGATCTACATGGGGAGAATCAAATGGATCGTCACTATCGAGATTTCTAATGCTACGTGGTCTGTAACGTTCACCATTTCTAAAAGTTCCACGAGGTTCAAACCTAACAACTTCTATCCTGTCTACAGAGTCAGTCCGAGACATAGTTGGAACCTCGGTATGATTTGGTGGGGGAGGTGGATTACTATGTACTGGGTCCGTTACGTCCAGCTTTGATTTACGTTGACGTTTGTTTCTGATTATCAGTTTTATCACAACCACAATTAAGAGACAAATTATTCCAAAACAAACACCAATCACAAGATAAAGAATTGCTTTTTCTTCATTTTCTGTAAATAGAACACACAAGTTAATGTTTTGGTAATTTCAATAAATTGTAAAATCACTTTTTTATTTTTCACACAAAAAATTGTTTCTTTTCTTTTTACAGTTTAATTAATTAAATATTATGCTATTAGGGAAAAAAAAAAAAGAGAACTAAGTAGATTGCTATGTGGTATGTTTTTTGCTCATCGATGAAGGCTGTATGTTGACCTATAGTTGCTAACTTTTACATCATTTGGTTTCTGGTGGAGGGTTGTCTTATTGGCAATCTTACCACATCTCCTTATTTTTATTTAGATATTTATCCTTACTTTGAACCATAAATCTTTACATACTTTTACGGAATTCGTTCGTTGCTCTATATTCTTTTAACTATAAGTTCTTATAAAGTGTTAATGTCTATCTTCTATTACTATTAAAATTCTTGTGATGTATTAATGTTTATTTTAACCAATCAACTCCATTTTCAAATCTTAGAGACATAAAAATCATACAACATAGTTACTTACTAGAGATGAAGTAAAAAGAATTGAACCAGTCCGTTACCAGTCCAATAGCACCATTGTTTCCCTGACTAACTGTAGATTTGATTGTAGTATTTATACATAGCACTGTAGAGATATTGGATTTCTCCTCCTCCTCCTGAGTCTTGGAGGATTTGTTTGGATTTACTTGCAACTCTCCCTTCCTCACAAGGTCTTGTTGCTGTGCATCATCTGGAAGACAAATTTGATTTTTTAAATTTATTCCAGTGTTCTTTTTTATTATCTCCCCTTAATTACTTTCCTGAATATTACTAAAATGCATTTATAATCACTTCATAGCATGCCTAATTTGGAACATTTATAAACCATAGGATAAATGGACTGATGGTAGGATAAATGAATTGGTGCTGAATAACAAATTTGAAAGACATTTAAAATTTACTCCAGTTTTCTCTTTTTATTATCTCCCCTTAATTACACATCTTCAATATCACTACAAATGCATGTAAATAGTTGGTAAAATATATGGATGAAAGGATAAATGGCTGATGGTTGGATGAACAAATTCATGCTGTATGTCAAGTTATCATTCAACTTTATTCGAAGTTATAGATAAGACAAAAATAGTATAATATATACAAAGTTATGTTGTGTTATGTGTAAGGAGAGCATCCCACTAAAGACTTTTAATGGAGGTAACTAATGAATGGTAAATATTGTTATGATATTTACTTGGATTTATATACAATAAAATTGCTTATGCTAACATCTTCTTATAAATAAACAGAAGACAGATGGAGGAAAATGTGCTAGAAACCTCTCATGTGCCACCTATGAATGTTTCACCTTCACAGTGGTATCAGCTTGGCCACTGTTCCCTTTTTTCCTTTGAGTAGTGTCTACAGTTTATTGGCAATGGAGTTGTCAGTCCTTTTCAAATATCTAATATTGGCTATTTGGATGGTTGAGTGTGGTTTGCAAAATGCCTAGTGGCAAATATTTCATGCATATTCAGAATGAGACATTGGCATCCATGGGAGCGAGACATAGAGACCCTACATTCTTTTTGTTTTTTTGTGTGTATATCAATAAATTAAAGAAAAATTTACCTGCTGGATACATATTATTATTATTATTTACAGGGGCCTCAGTATTTAGCACTTTTTCTATAAAGGTAACAGTTTCTGGAATGCTTGAACTTGTTTCTTTTTTATCTGGCTTTTTCTTCTTTCTTTTTTTCTTTCTGTGAAAACCATTTTTTCCATGGTGTCTTAATCTGTCCTTTAAAATCTTCTTTGGCACTGAAAAGAAAACATTTTTTAAAACTACATGGATATTACACAGAAGCTGTGCTCACTACATTACAACTACATTTCTTGAACCACTCTTCTCACTTGATGAATTACTAATAGTGCACATGCTGAAATGTCTCTCCTCCTTTTTCTGATTATGTTGAAATTTATGATGAAAGTCTTTAAGTTAAATCTTATTACAAGTATCCAGTTCTTCTTAGTTGTGAAATATAAAGCTTTAAACAAATAGTTTACGCAATTCCAGGATAAGCATCCCAATGTTTCCCATTCTGTGGCTATCCTAGCAGGCAAGACAATAAAAAATACAAGAAACACCATGGATCAATAAGCCAAGTTGCAATCTTTATGAGTTTGGAGAAGAACAGATTTTTAGTTAAGTCTGTTGACAATTTATGTCAAACTAGAGAAAACAATAAAAAATGGCAAAATTTCAGTCTATTTAATGCTGCTGTAAACTTTAACCTTCAATCTATTGATTTAAAATTAAGTGTCTATTCAATGACATAGGTTCTGTGATTTTAATCTTGGAACTACTGAACTGAAACATCAATGTTGGTCTTTCTCAGTTCATGGGGCACTACCAAACTTGGATATTGCTAATGGCTTGAAAGATTTTGTCAGGTCTTGGTTGGCAGGCAGGGTCATTGGACACATTTTTTAAAATAAATACCCCAATGATGATTGTGGCCAAGTTTGATTAAATTTGGCCTAGTTGTTTCAGAGAAGAAGATTGTTGTAAAAGTTGACGACAACGGACGATGAGGAATGACGGACGCCAAGTGATGAGAAAAGCTCATTTGGCCCTTCGGGTCAGGTGAGCTAAAATGGAGACGAGAGGGATCTGGAGGATTTCGGAAATGAATATCCTGGTCTTGTAAGAAATTGAAAAAAAAAAAATCTTGCTCTAGATATATTCTGCTCAATATCAAAATGAAGGAAATATTTGTGTATAAACATGAAAATAAATTTTAACGCATCAAATAAATAAGCCAACATTTTTCAGATACTTTGGATCTGTTCTTATTCATTCAATTTACACAAAAAATGTAAAAAAAATATCAGCAATGGTTCATTACACAATGTCACATCAAATTCATAAAAACTAAATTGCCTGTTATGCTATACATATAATTACACAACATAGCCTTGAAACCACTTCCTTCTTTTTGTTCATTTCTTCATGAAATTCAGAAAATAAAACAAGTGCAAAGCAATTTAAAAAAAGATGAAGATTAAAATTGTCTCTTTCTTACAAAATTTGATCCAGGGCAATTTATTTCAACACTGTTGATGCACACCCGGTGGTCTATATCTCCCATTAAAACATTTTTCTATCAATAGCCATCTTAACCAGTTATCCTGGTATACATATTGAATTAGAAATCTGATGTTTAAACATCATTCCATTATTAATATACACTGTCATGTCATCAAAGGAAATAATTTCATTGAAAAAGAAGATAGGATGATAATCACAATAGAATGGGATTCCCGTTCAAACAGTAAAACAGATTAACCCTTACTCAAGGCAAAACACACACACAAAGATTCTTTTCTCTAGAGATGAAGGTAATGTAAAGGATTAACTACTTGAAATATTACACCTTTTAAAGATGTCAAGACATATGTACACTGTCTGATTGTATCAGTGCTTGTTGATAGCCATCTTTCATTAAGCTCGACAGATCATGTGCATCACTCTGCAGGCAGTGTAACTCCATCTTGTTAAATGCATGTCTGCCATAAAAGTGTCAGATGAAGTAAATAGTTGTTTACTAAACAACTGTAGGTTATATGATGAAGCTAGCAGATGTGGGATCAGCTTGTTAACACTTCAATGTTGTTTGACCACTGAAAACCTCCCTGATGAATTGTCAAAACATAAAGCCTGTTTTTTTTTCATTGAGAAGTTTTTTAAAATATATATTTAGAAAAAATAAAACTTAACCCTAATTATTTAATTTTCCAAAAATATGAATAATTGAAGTCGAAAGCTTCAGAAAATCCAGTTTTTGGTGGGGTTCGTGTTGCTTAGTCTTTAGTTTTCTATGTTGTGTCATCTGTACTATTATTTGTCTGTTTGTCTTTTTATTTTTGACCATGGCGTTGTCAGTATATTTTTGATCTGTGAGTTTGACTGTCCCTCTGGTATCTTTCGTCCCTCTTTTTTAACATATGCCAAGGGTATAACTCTTCAAAAATAGTTACAGGATCATGAATTTTTGGGGAGTTCTTTATGTCAGTTTTCTGTGTTTTCTCTACAATTTCTACAAGCTCCTTACAAGTACTATGTAAAGACATTTTTAGCTTGCATCACATGCTTTGTCATGAGTTATGACATATATTACAACATGTGACAACTACCCCTTTCAGTCATGTACCTGTTGCCATGGTTAATGATGACTCCTGATAATACCTATTTTGTTAAAACTGTTTCAACATCAAACTTAACTTTTTCAGATCAGTTTATATTCAAATATAGAAATAAAAAACTAAAGTTCAAGCTCTATACTATAAAGTAACATGGTCAATCCATCATAAATGAATAAAAGTACTTCTAATAAGTGTATTTATTATACATGTATACAAACTATTTAATATCAATTTGGTGCAAATGTCAAAATGCCCATTTTGCTGGCACCAGTTTGATTTGAAAAATTTCATATCAGATACTTATGATATAATCACATGAATCAAGTAAAGTTATATTTTTAGTGACCTATTCCAGTGGTTCGTCCCTACTACTCAATTCCTAGTCATTATCCCCTTGTCTTTTGCTTAAAACCTTTTGAGACCTTTAGATGTCAATTTGTTGTTGTTGTGTTGTTTGGTAGTCTCATTCACCCACACCCTATTTCTGTTTATTTTTAAATTCGTGGGAGTATCATTTTAGAAGGTTATTCCAGTTTTTCGTAATTGTGAATCACACTTTTCAGGCTGTACTTTAATATTTGTTTTCCATTCTGAATCATACAAATAAACATTGTATTCTGATAAATTATGATGAAATGCATTGTAAAGTACAAAATGATACTTCTCATTCTTTATGTACTTTGAGTTAAAATATTTTTTAATTCATCAACAACAATCTCAAACTTCTCAACAAAAATTTAACTCCAATCAATCAACTACGATTCACATTTCTCACATACAAATCATGTTTGCTTTGATGTTGTTGGAATTTTAATATAAAACTTTAAATCAGGTAATACGGTACAAGTACAAAATATTTCATAATCCCTCCATTGGTTTTACCTGAGGTGTTTTTTTATGTAAGGAAATTATCATCTTGAGGGTATTCTTTTTACATATTCATGTATTCTGAAGATCATCAGGAAATACTTGTATAGATGGATGCTAATTAACTTCATTTTACATATGCTCAATCAAATTTTTGGATATTAAATCTAATATATTCAACAGCATGATTTTAAATGAATGTATAACATTGTATAAGTAAAGAATATCAGCGTTGTATCTGTACAATATGCAAATTGTATTATAAGTGCAAAAGAAAAGATATTACTTTTTGTGAACTATGTCATATTTTACTATCTAGACTTTTGTGTTGTATGAAATGCCTAAATTTTATGTTTGAGGCAACACCTAATGTTAAGTTTTCTGATTAAGATCACTTCAGAATAAGTTTAACGTTCCTGTTTGCATTTTAATTTACCAGTAATTGAAGTCAGATATGTGTCTTTTCCTTCTTTAGACTTTGATTTAAATGGAAATGTTGTATGGAGACTACAACTTTTTCTTCACAATATAAAATCACTGGACAGTTACATATTGGGTCAACTTTTCTAAAGAAATCCAGGATCTGCCATATACTATAAATGGAATATTTTTACGATATCAATGCCTAAACTTTTAAAAGAGAGTTATATCTCACTTCACACAATATGTGCACCCTTCAGATCAAAATCGTCGACTTGTTCCAACTTTTCATGGTGGTGGGGTATTTTTGCACATTTTACCTAATGTAATGAAAAACTCAGCAAAAATAACCCTTGCATGTAATTTATATATTTACACTAATGGTCACAAATCTAATTTATCATGAAAACAGGAATTTCCCACATGAAAGTCAGCTGTGTTCACATTCAGCAAATGCATCTAAAATAAAACTAATTAATTGAGTTATTGAATAATAATGTACAATGATTAACAGTATCTTATATTATATATGTATAACATACCACATGTATAAGATATGGAAAGGTATTTTTGTACACCCGGAGGACATGGGTTACCAAACACATACTCCTCAGCTTCTATCACGCAGTGATTACGACCATGACATCTTTTCATTACTTCTTCTGTGGCAGTAGCTGATTTACAATCTACAAACATATAAAAAAAGTTTTTTAAAAGTGGTTTATTTTTACAGACTATATATAGATTGTAAATATTGTCCTTAAATCTAACCTTTGTTTTATGGGTTTTGCTCATTGTTGAAGGCAGTTGTGAACTTGTCTCATTGCCAATCATATCACATCTCCCTGTTTTATATTAGAAGGATAAGGAAGAGGAAAATTGACCCTAAATAACGGTTAAGGCGTTTTCATGTTTGTGAGTTGAAGGACAAATTGAGTTTGGCTGTGTGCCGATATTTCATATTCAATAAAAATAATGTAGACAGTATTAGTCAAGATCACAAATATATTTCCTCATAAAACTTCTTCATGAGAAACAAAAAAAGTGACTTCAATAAGCATTTGATAAATGATTATTGCCACTTAACTATATATATTATATCCATTCACAGCAAGATAAGCTACCACAAATTCATTAATTGGACATTTTGTGGATAATTTATTAATAGTAAAAGCAAACAAATATATCAACACTATATCATGAATGCAAGAAAATGTCTTTTTATTAAAAGCTATTTACTGCACTGAAAAATGATAACCTTTTTATATAAAACTGACGATAATTTAACCCTCCATGATTTAAACTGTCAACAAGATTGACCTTGCAGTGTGACATCTTAAGAAATTAGCTATGAACATACTGAGATAATATCAAAACACATATCTAAATTGCTATGAAGTGATAAAATAAAAATGTCAACAATTTGACTGATCATATTATTTTTTGATTACATACACTTAGGCTCAGTATCAGACTTCACAGTATTTAGTTATCAGGCACCAGATGAATTAGTTTAAGGGGGCAGTTTTTTATACGATTACATGAACATTACAAACAGAGTATTCTTCTACTTTTGCTTGGTTAGTTGAAGATAAAATTTATTTATATTGTTGGAAAATTTATACTTGTTTGTATGACCTTCAAAAAATCTTGAGACTTTATAGGCTCCAATTAGACTGATTTGCTCACCTGACAATCACCCATCACAAAATGTATTTGAATAGCTAAAAAAAAAAGATTCTTCAGGGGCTCTTTTCACAAAATATCTTACAAAAAAAAATTGGTCGTAAGTTATACTGAAATGTTCTTGACTTACAAGTTTTAAGTTATACTGAAATGTTCTTGACTTACAAGTTTTAAGTTATACTGAAATGTTCTTGACTTACAAGAACTATTTCTCGAAATATTTTTTGTGAAATGAGTCACAGTTAAAAAAACTGGCCAAAAAGAGATGTTGAAAGTTAGCATTGGTTTGCAAATCACAAATTGTAGGAAGGACTATCTTATCCTCAATGAAAAATATGTACCCCAGTGTATAAAAGGGCAGTTTACATAAATTTTCAATTTAGTACTTTGTAAATCTATGTGTTATGGTAGTTGCCAGGTGGCCTTTTAGATATAAAAAAACAAAACCATTGCTAATGAATTTAGATTTAAAAACATGTGGACACAGATGATGCCCCCGCTTGCATATCATATAGTTATAAAGGGACATAACTGAAGAACGGTAAAGTGACGCTACCCAAATTTGAACTTGATTTGAGTTTTGTGGTAATAAGCATTGTGTGTAAGTCTCATAACATTTGGTTGAGACAAACTAAAGTCAGAGAACGGAAACGAAAAAATTCAGCAATTTTTATGTTTATAAAGGGACATAACTCAAGAATGGTAAAAGTGTCACCACCAAATTTCGTACTTAATCTGTATTATGTAGTAATAAGCATTGTGTATAAGTTTCATAACATTTGGTTGAGGCAAACTAAAGTTAGAAAACGGAAACAAAAAATTTGTACTTGATCTTAGTTTTGTGGTAATGAATATTGTGTATAAGTTTCATAATGTTTGGTTGGAGCAAACTTAAATTACAGAATGGAAATTAAAAATTTTGAAATTTTTCAATTTATAAAGGGGCATAACTCAATAATGGTTAAAGTGACACTACCCAAATTCAACTTGATCTGTGTTTTATCAGTGGAAGTCAAAATTAAACATTGCATTGTATAAAGCATTGCTTGTAGTTGATTCAACTATAGTCATGGACAAAGGAAGATAACTCTAATTTTAAAAATTACTTGATATTTAGAAGAAAATAAAAATTTTGCAATTTTTCCATGTTTTGTGGTAATAAGCATTGTGTATAAGTTTCATAACATTTGGTTGAGGCAAACTAAAATTAGAGAATGGAAACGAAAAATTCAGCAATTTTTCCATTTGTGAAGGGGCATAACTATAGAACGGTAAAAGTGACGCCACCAAAATTCAAACTTGATCTGTGTTTTGTGGTAATTAGCATTGTGTATAAGTTTCATAACATTTGGTTGAGGCAAACTAAAGTTAGAGAACGGAAACCAATTTTGGGACGTACGTACGTACAGATGGACAAGGGTAAAACTTAATGCCCCCTCCGCTACGGCGGGTGCATAAAAAACATTCTGTTGCTCTGACGGATAAATTACCGGGATGTTTTATTTGGAATTTTGGGCATTTTTAATTGTTTTAAGTATTTTCATGCTAGTAACAAAGAAAGAGTTTGTAAGATATTAGCTGAGTTCAGGCCTTGTGGTCATAAAAATCTGGAGTACGATTATTGTACTCAGACTCATACTTCAACCAATCAAAATACTGAATTGGTGATTCAAGCTAACATTTTGTTCTCTAAGCACTGAGTACACTTTCATGAACGGTATAAGGCTCTGATATCAGATAGTTAGGTTGTTTATGAAGCAAGTCAACACCAAGACATTTTGTGACCTTTATGAAGGTTAATTCTTGTTTGTGGGGCGACTTCAACAATGTACTTCTGTTAATTTACACCAACCATTCTTTTTGAAAAGAAATATTGATAATTACCTGCATAGCCAATACCATTTGTTAAGCACTTTGGTGTATTTGTTGTAGCTCTACCAAATAACACTGAGTAAATTGCAATTCTTTGAGATCTTTCACAACGAATATTTATCTGTTGGTTTTCACACACTGTTGTGTTCTTAAAATCACCTGAAAATTAAAAAGGTTTTGAAAATTTCTGAAACATCTATATATATTTTATACAGCTTTTTCCAACTAGACATAAATAAATAATTGCAAATCAAATAATCCATATAGATTCAAATGATACGGCTGCAATACTTATGGTTTGTTATTTCACAGACAGTATTTGATATGTTACAGGGAACCAGCATTTTATAATATTCTTTTTCTGACAAAAAAGTTATTTAAGAATTATGAAATTCTAGTCACCATTCTGGATAACCTTTAAACGACAAAACTTTCATTTTCCACAAATTTCAGTGAGCTTTGTCATTCACACATACATGCATAATTCCAATGGAATATATTGAATTTTAATAAAATGTTTCTTTGACCTGTAGTTGTTTACATCCTTGACCTTTGGTCTTTGGTGGGTAGTTGTCACATTGACAATCGTCTCATTAACAATCAGACCACATCTCCTTATTTTCATATTTTCTTGATATTTTAAAGGATTAGACAACCAGTATTTTATACAGTTATAAATTCCACAGTAATGCTTATCTTTCCTGAACGAAAATGATTGGTAAGTGAAAAGGTTATTTGCTGATAAGTAGTATGTACTTTTATGTGGATACATAATAAGCTTTTTGTCAGAACAGTGAATCTGCAAGTTTAAAAAGTATGCTGAAATGTAATACGCCCTACGGAACATCTTCTTGAATGCTATTATGAAAATTGATATCTCTTAATATTTGCAAATAAGCAAAAGTAAAACTTCAGTCACCAAAGCGATATTAGCTAAAACAAATCAAATCGTAAAAAAAATGTATCAGTATACTGAGTATAGGTATTCTCCTTCATAAAGGCTGCTTAGAATTGACGGTGTCGCCATCTGTAAAAATTCTTAGTGGGAGTACAAAAATTGAGATGCCCATTCAATGTACTTAACACCAGTCTCAAAAGTTTGAAAGATATGGGTTGAAAACTGTAGGAAGAGGTGACAACAAAAAAATAGATGTCCTCTTTTCCCTGAACCTTCAGTTCTTTTGGTATTCAATGGAACACAGAGAAAGCTCTAGTATTATTGTGGTTCTTCATCAAATAGCGTATGTGCTAATTTGGTGAAGATTTTTCAATAACTACAGTAAAAGTTCAGACACATTTAGGTTGTTCCCTTTGAAAGTAATTACTTTTCAATTATATATGAAAACCTGTCCAGCAGACCACCTGTGTAAAGAAAACCTGCCACAATAATCCACTTTAAAAATACTTCTTCAAGAATTATCAACATGTTACCAGCACCCCTCTTTGTATAGTGGCTTGATAAGTGGTTCTTAAAATTGACAGATCTTAAAATACAAACAATTTAATGAAGAACACAATTTGTCTAATTCTGGAGAGAGAAAATAGATTTTTTTTCATTTAGAGGGTAAGACACCTGTAACAGCTTGTAAGGAGTTAACTCCCCCTGAAATTAATTCATGTAACATTGTTATCCTCAACAAAGAACCAGCATATAACAGTCCCTAATGACTGTTGATGAATTCATCCATTACTGTTAATTACACAGTAATTATTGACTGCAATTAGTATCAACATCATAACTAGGGATTTCAAGCTTTTCAATATTCTAAAAATAAACTAGATTTTTTTTCCCATCAGTTTGGACCTTTCATGTCCAGTGTGAACTGATCATTGAGCATCTGCATATGTACCAATTCCATATCATTAAAATTGATTTTCCATCTTTCCTGTTCAAAATGAAATTATCTTCTGTGAAGTGGTCGACAGATGGTAGAAGATTCATCAAATGATTGTATTATGCAATAAAATATTTTACAATCATTCTACCACTAAAAGATCAAATATATTCAAATTTGATGATTCCTCTGTTAACTCTTTAAATCACTTATAACAGAATACTGTTTGCTGTTTGTAATTCAAAGGATTGCATGTTATAAGCTAAGAAATAGTTGAAGAATATCAAGATGGTATACAGTCAATACACTTTGATGGTCAAATGAAAATGCAAGAGAAGTGAAAAAGATCCATTTTTTCTTAAGCTCAGAATAATAATATAAATAAGAAGATGTGGTATGAGTGCCAATGAGACAACTCTCCATCCAAGTCACAATCTAGAAAAAGTTAACAATTATAGGTCAAAGTACGGCCTTCAACACAGAACCTTGGCTCACACCGAACAGCAAGCTATAAAGGGCCCCAAAATGACTAGTGTAAAACAATTCAAACAGGAAAACCAACGGTCTTATCTATATAAAAAACGAGAAATGAGAAACGAAAAACACCTATGAACCACACCAACAAATGACAACCACTGAACAACATAACTTCACTTAATTTCTACATATAGATATCAAAAAGTGAAATAAATTTAGTTATTTTCAGATAGGATACATTATTCAAAATATATAGAAAATGCTTTCAAGAAAAATAAAAAAAAAACATCTTCCATGTTTTATCATGTTAAAAGTGCTGACTGTAGTAAGTGTTTGTACAATAATGTGTTTTCGATCAATGATTTCACAACCTTATATTCCTATATCTACCATGTCTACATTACATGTCTAGAATCTATTGAACTGAAAGTAATTAGTAATGGACACTAACAATAATGTTTTGAATATTCCATACTTATCTTAGCATTTATTAGTGACAGATATAAGTCAGAACTTAATTTATATGATAATATTAAGCATATAACTTTACTCTGTCAATGGTGATGTATGAAACTTTACTGCACAAATCTTTCATAAAAATATCCTACTTGAAATCAGTTTGTGAAATGTGTGTGATTGGAAATGTTCAAATTCCAAAATACAGACCTATTTTATAGTGTGTCTTTCTATGTTGTGATGTTACACTATTGTTTCAGATAAGGATGAAGGTTTGGTACCATTAAAACGTTTAAACCCGCTGCAATTGTTTGCACCTGTCCTAAGTCAGGAATCTGATGTTCAGTAGTTGTCGTTTGTTGATGTGGTTCATAAGTGTTTCTCGTTTCTCGTTTTTTATATAGATTAGACCGTTGGTTTTCCCGTTTGAATGGTTTTACACTAGTAATTTTTGGGGCCCTTTATAGCTTGCTGTTCGGTGTGAGCCAAGGCTCCGTGTTGAAGACCATACTTTGACCTATAATGGTTTACTTTTATAAATTTTGACTTGGATGGAGTCATTGTCTCATTGGCACTCATACCACATCTTCTTATATCTACTAACTAATCACCAGGAGTCGGTTTCACAAAAAAACTTATGACTAAGATTGATCGTAAGTCATGAACAATTCAGTATACTTACGATCAATCTTCATCGTAAGTTTTTTTGTGAAACTGACTCCAGAACTTCATGTTGATCATTCAACCATGAAAATGAAGTCAAGGTCAAACAAACCTTGAAAGACCTACAGCTATTCCCTACATCCTCAAGTTTTTTTTAACTTCCATGATTAAAAGAAATTAATAGTCTTTTAATGTGTTGAAATGTTTCGCCTGTGTAACTTATGATTGAACTCAAGTTGAAAATCATTAAATAGATCAAGGTTTAATACAAGTATCACATAAACTTAACATTATCAATCATCCATGAAAATAAGGTCATATACACCTTACAATGATCTTCCCTAATTTTCATTCTGATCATGAAAACTTAATATTAACCTAAGAACAATGGAAATGAGGTCAATGTCAGATTAAACCATGTACATGTATACCTTACAGTCATTCTATACATCCATTATACAATCTGAGAAATGGCCTAATCACTAAACATTTAGATGAACCCTGTCAATCCAAAATACACACCTTACAATCAGTCTAAATAAAAAATGCAGCTGAACCATTCCTTAAAGCATCTGAAAAATGGATCTAATCACAGAAACTTAACGTTGATCACTGAACCATGAAACTGCAGTCAAGGACAATGGATATGCACCAGACAGTAACTTAAGACCATAAGGCATCTGTATAGCAGATATGAATTATCCAGCTTTTCTACCTTATGAAATATGGAGCTTTATACACTGATCTAATACTGCACCTATATATACTTACTAGGACTACACTTGTATTTGACCTTTAAATACTTAGAGGTGAAAGCACATGGATCTTGGCGAAAAGTTGAGGTACTGGCTAGAACTTGGCAACTCTGTTTGTTCTGACAGGCATCAAACAAAACCTGGAAAAAGAAAAAAGTGTTAAGACATACAACTAGATAAATTATATAAAACAAGAACAGAAACGTAAAGGGACATAACTATAGAACGGTAAAAGTGACGACACCAAAAATTCAAATTGATCTGTGTTTTGTGGTAACAGAAGCATTGTGTACGGTGTATAAGTTTCTTACCATTTGGTTGAGGCAAACTAAAGTTTGAGAACAGAAACCAAATTCGGGACGTACGGATGGATGGACATACAGATGGACAAGGGTAAAACTTAATGCCCCTTCTACTACGGTGGGGACATAAAAATGTATTTGTGGGGTATATACATCAATGAGGCAGCAACATGACAACAAAAGTAAGCAAAAGAAATCTGGAGGACAACATATTACTTTACAACAGCACTGATAATGTACATACATATTGAGGGACCTTGGTGGCCAAGTGGTCTCATTAGTTTATCTAAAAGTATCACTAGCATGTCAACACTGCAGTTGTGAGTTCGAATCCTGCATGTGGCAGGTGCGTTTGACTCCAATCTTAATTGACTAGGAATGTAATTTTCCAAGCACTCAAGCTTCCTCCACCAATAAAAACTGACTGCAACAATATAACAAATAGTGCTGAAAGTGGCGTTATACAAGAACAACCAGTGCTGAAAGTGGCATTAAACACTAACAAACAATCAATCCATATAATATGTCAAGCTTTAAATTGTCCCTAAAAGTTGTGAATAAATTAAATAGAAAGTATCAAAGAACATCCATTGTCACCAGTTTCCCCCATAAAAAAAATACAAAAAAAATACCATTAAGATATGACATTAACCTATAGTCTATATTCTTTATTTCCAATGCAATTGTGTTGATGCATACCAAAGATCCCTCAGTTCTTACTAAATAACTACAAAACTACAGGGAACAAAACTATAAGAGTTTACTACCTAATTAGGACATCAAAGTCAATGTTACACCTGGTGGTATACCTTATTGAATAATTGACATACCTAGGGGACAGATCAGATGATTGATCTTTAGGACTGTTGTAATACTTTACACTTAACTAGGGAGCCTTCATTTATAATAGGTCTACTTTATCTTTACTGATAATAGCTACAGCTCATTTCTCCACAGTCTAATTTTCCCTCTCATCCATAAAACCCTGATTATGGTTAAAATTATTGCTGCAAAAACCTGTGGTAAATTCAGTAACATATAAAATCAATTCTTGTCACTTCTTGGAATTATCTATATAACATGTATAAAAGGCCCTTGATGACTGCATTTCATCTCTTTTTTTTTACAATAGAACACTTTTCACTAGGCATTAAAAAAAAGTAAAAATAAACACATCCACCCCCCCCCCCCCCCCCAAAAAAAAACTAAACAAAATTCAACATCATATTTGAAGGTGCCTATAAGATATGTTAAATTGTCCAAGATGTAATCTAGGTAACACTTTTATCTTTTACATCAGTCAATTCTATTGAGTGTCTCCACCCATTCCAAAAATGTACACAAACTTGAGCCACAAATATTTGGCCAATAAAAGGACAAACAGACTTTTTTCTTAGAGATAAAAGGAATATTTTGTAGTTTAGGAGAAAATTATCTTTGTTTATTCATTCAGTGTTCTACTAACAATCATTTTAACTAGTACAAAAATTATAGAAACAGCATCCAAGTCCAGCACGAAATTCAAGCATTTTGATATTTAAGTAGGTGTCATTTCTATAATGACAGAGGTGAATCTACAATACCTGACATCCTCACAACCACATTCAACAAATAAAATTGCAACCCCTTCTTTATCTATTATTGCATATTTCATCTTTTATTTGAAGCCCTGCCTAATTATTTACATCTTACCTACCCTCTCTTGGAGAGGAGGGGACTGGATCGTAACCCTTGGCTAGGGAAGATGAATTATTTATAGGTATATGATTTTTGTTTGTTATTCCCTAAACCTGCAAACCCGAAGGGCTTTGACTCTGTCTATTAATAGCCCATCAGTCTGACTCCTTGTTTTGTTATTTTATTTTGACCTGGCAGGTTTCAGTATGATTGCCAATGAGACAACTATCCACCAGAGTTCAAATAAAGTGTATGTAAGCAATTTTAGGTCATGTATGGCCTTCAACAAAGAGTAATAAAATGCTTCGCTGGGCGCAGCTTGATACGACCGCAGAGGTCGAACCCTGAACAGTTGGGGCAAGTATGGACACAACATGCAAGCTTGATACAGCTCTGAATTTGGATTGTGATTAAATATTTGACACAGCATAGATTTCTGACACAGAAAGAATGTGGTCTAAGAACTTGATTTTTTTAAATTTACCTATTATGGTCCAATGTCCAAAATCAAAATACATGGTTAGATTCAGCATATCAAAGAACCCCATATATTCAATTTTTGTTGAAATCAAACAAAGTTTAATTTTGGACCCCAACTTGGACAAACTTGAAAACTGGGCCCATAATCAAAAATCTAAACACATGTTTAGATTCAGCATATCAAAGAACCCCAAGAATTCAATTTTTGTTAAAATCAAACTAAGTTTAATTTTCGACCCTTTGGACCTTAAAGTAGACCAATTTAAAAAACGGGACCCAAAATTAAAAATCTAAATACACAGTTAGATTTGGAATATCAAAGAACCCCAATAATTCAATTTTTGATGAAATCAAACAAAGTTTAATTTTGGACCCTTTTGACCTCAATATGAACCAATTCGATAGCAGGGCCCACAAATAAAAAATCTAAATACATGGTTAGATTCAGCATATCAAAGAACCCCATATATTCAATTTTTGTTGAAATAAAAAAAAGTTTAATTTTGGACCCCAACTTGGACAAACTTGAAAACTGGGCCCATAATCAAAAATCTAAACACATGTTTAGATTCAGCATATCAAACAACCCCAAGAATTCAATTTTTGTTTAAAATCAAACCAAGTTTAATTTTGGACCCTTTGGACCTTAATGTAGACCAATTTAAAAAACGGGACCCAAAATTAAAAATCTAAAAACACGGTTAGATTTGGCATATCAAAGAACCCCATATATTCAATTTTTGTTGAAATCAAACAAATTTTAATTTTGGACCCCAATTTGGACCAACTTGAAAACTGGGCCAAAAATCAAAAATCTAAATACATGTTTAGATTCAGCATATCAAAGAACCCCATATATTCAATTTTTGTTAAAAACAAACAAAGTTTAATTTTGGACCCTTTGGACCTTAATGTAGACCAATTTGAAAACTGGACCCAAAATTAAAAATCTAAATACACGGTTAGATTTGGCATAACAAATAAACAAATGAGGTCAAAGATTTTACAAATCTAATGCGCCATACTGTGCAATTAAAGATTACTTCTTGAAATTTTTCAATATTTGAAATTTGAAAAAAAAAAATTTTTGAAGAATAATTCTTTTTAATTTCTGAAATCTGAAATGAGAAAAAAATGACCCCCCACAATTTTTTTTTACCCCCCCCCCCTTTTTTCCCCAAAAAAATTCTTTCCCTCAAGATATGGTCATAATCTCAATTCAAATTTCCAATGGAGTTTGCAACCATCATTACCCATTTAAATTTACCATAGTGCTAACTTAATCTATTTTATAATAGAATTTAAAATATAATGTCAAATCTTTCATCGTCCTGAATATGCATGAAATATTTGCCACTGGACGTTAAGCAACCAACAATCAATCAATCAATCAAATCTTTCATATGGATTTTTTTGTAAAAAAAAAGATGCAACATTTGCAGATATTTTTACTGGTCTTCCTTTATAAATATGCATTTCTTTAAACATAATTTAAAAGCAGTGTAAGGGAAGTAACCAAAACGTTGTATTTGGATTACCTCCCTTACACTGTTTTAAATTATCTTAATTGTTCATTAACCATTACTTTATACATAATTTAAAAGCAGTGTAAGGGAGATAATTTCAATGATGTATTTGATTTATCTCCCTTACACTGCTTTAATTATCTTTTGTACTAAAGATTTGTCCATTAAGCAGGACAACCTTGTTTTTCCCCCTTTTTTGCCCCTAATTCCTAAACGGTTTGAGCCATAAGCCCCCAAAGCAAATCCTAACCATCCCTTTGTGGTATGGAAACTTGTAGTATAATTTCAGAGAGATCCATACACCACTCCACAGTTATTGTCTGGAAACTAGAAAATGCTTATTTTTGGCCCCTTTTTGGCCCCTAATTCCTTAACTGTTGGTACCATAACCCCCAAAATCAATCCCTACCTTCCTTTTGTGGTATTGAACCTTATGGTATAATTTCAAAGAGATCCATTCACTTAAACTAAAGTTAGAGTGCGAAAACCAATGTGTCTTCGGACGACGACGAAGACGCCAACGTCATACCAATATACGACCGCAAAAAGTATTTGCGGTCGTATAAAAACTGTATAGTCGGCTAAAATTTCAAAAAAACTTACATAAAACTTCCATAAAACTTCCTTTACCTTCAAAGTACACCTTCTTTTTCAACATATTCAAGAATTTGTGTAAAGTTGTATATAGAATTACAGATGCAAGTGACTACACTTCACCAATTAGAATGCAATATAGGAAGTGCAATTAAAAGCTAATTGTAAATAAATCATGTAATAACATCTGGATAAGACATCCCTTTATTGACTATTATGCAAGTATTCTTACCAATTCACAGCTTCTAGATATCTAAGATCAATCGCATTAAATACTTTACGATGCGACTAATATTTAAATTTCTGCAACAATACCAGATGAGTCTACATATATGTACCTGCATTTCAGATATGTACATAAATTAGGTTTGATGATAATTTATCTTATATTTTTTTTCAGTCAAATTCTTTCGCTGCCTGCTCTCATTTAAAAGTATAATTGAAATATTTTATTCAAATACAGGTTCAGTCTGAATCACTGATATAATATTTGGATAATCTGATAATAATTTGATGGAAAACTGCATTGAATGATTGACAAGTTGAAACTATATACCAGTGAAAAAATACCTGCTTATAGGTTTAAACTGGACAAGCTTTTTAGAGAAGGAAGACATCATGTAAGGCCCTTTTATTACCGTAAAGAAGAAGATAATATTATTTTGCATAGTATCTATTCTACTTTCATCAACTATTTACAACGAGACATATAGAAACCATGACATATATAGAATGCATCATGTTGGTGTGCATAGTAGTATTCCTTAACTTGTGAACAAGACCTTCATTTCTCCACAACATATGTTAAAACTATATTGGTCAAGACAGTGGAAGGCCATCACAATAACAGCAGAGAAAAATGACCACAATGTGTGTTTAACTCAAAGAAATAAACTGGTGATCTGATGTTGGATGCTTAATTGGCACTAGAAATGATTTCAAGAATATTGTTTAAAATATGCCATAAAGTTTTGCTGAAGATCATTTTAAAAAGTTGCCAGACTTGTCAATGTATATTTGTTCCACCTAACAGAAGTTCCTCTGGAAACATTGTTATAAGCAATGTTATAGTATCTGTTCCTGTTATTCTATAGACAATACCAGGCACGGATCCAGGATTAAATGTAAAAAGGGGGTTACAGATCTCGGATTTAATGTAAAAGGGGGGGGGGGGGCACTCCTGAGAATTTGGAATAAGAAGACCATTTTGACAAAAAATAAGCTGTAAATTAATTTAATTTACCTTTATCTCTTTTTTTTTTCTTTTTCTAGGGTAGGGAGGGGAAGAGCCGGGTGTGTCCCCTCTAAATATGTGCCTGTATACACCAAAAAATGTCAGGTGGTAGCATATCCACACTGCCTCTTTATGCCAAATGATCTATAAGTGATTATTTTTATCTATAGGAAAATATGTAACATAAGTATTAAAAAGCCATACAATTTAGCGCTTGACATATTGTATAGACAACTGTCCATTGTTGATGACTGTATGTTGACCACTAGATATCTTTTGGTTGTTCTTGTCATTGTGTTGCTGTCTCATTGACACATACACCACATGTCCATTTATTCATACTTTTATCAAATTCAAAAGTTAATCTGCCATTAAATGAAGTTTACCAATTAAGCATGAAATGCACTCTTTGCATTAAATGCATCCACCCCAGGCTGAAAAAATGTGCTTCTTAAATAATCTTAACACAGCCTCATGTCTATGATTAAATCAAATATAAACAAGCACTAAAAATATAAATATCTTATTAGCATGAAAATGGCATAACACAATTTCTAAAAGATGGCAGACACAGTTAAACTGTCAAACATGTTAAAATTGTGACCCTGACTGTGTTTGTACTATAATATGCATTTTAATAAGGAAGAAGACTCTATCAAGCTGTTTCATGAGATATCCTGTCGACTTAAATAAACAGAAATTTGACTTAGTTGTGAGAAACTTTCAAACTTTGCCATGGGCCCATTTCAAGAAATAACAAGTAATTTCAGTTTCGTTTCTTGATATGATAAACTTAAAAGATCAAATTTATGTTTTAAATCTTGTTTTTGATTTGAATAAAATATTGTCATTTTGATCTTCTAAACAATTTCTAAAGGTTTAAAGTAAGAAACATTTCTCCCATTACAGGACATGGTTACCATTCTTTATAACTGATTGATTGATTGAAACATTAGCAAATATATCAAAAAGGTCCAATAAGTCAATATAATACTTCCATGGTATTACTAATAAATGTAATGTGTCTGGACAAGAACATAATGCCATACTGTATTGGTCCTAATAAAAGCCCCAACTAGTGGTCTCAGAGAATGGATTTATAAGGTAAGTAATTGGAACTCCAAGGTAACGAAATGATTACCAATATTGAAAATTTTGCAAATTAGCCTAGAATCACCTTTATAAGTTATAAATAACCTTTTTGCACTTTTTACAAATTGCTCTTCCTAGTACATGATTCCTGACATATCATCAATCATGAGTACATAAGAAATGGACATTCTAATGTCAGAAACAATAGAACCTGACAGAGAGCAGACAATTATTGTATTAATGAAAAATACAGACTACTTACTATCACCCCTAGCTGATAAACTGAGGCACAGTGCAATATAGGGTCAATTTCTAAATTACAATTATCATTTCATTACTGATAATACTTTCACTGTCAAAAGAATTCTTAAAAGAGATCCTGTGGATACTAACTGACCCATATACGTGGTAGATATATGGGTCAGTTAGTATCCACAGGATCTCTTTTAAGGAATTCTTTTGACAGTGAAAGTATTATCACTTCCTTATTTGAAGATATAACAGCTCAATTATAATTCTCGACATTTTTGTCCGTACAAGTACATTTGTAAACCACTGATAACAATAACCAACATGAGAACAAAAAGATACCACGTGTTGGTTAATATTGTCATTAGCTTGACCCTTTTTAAGATATGGCTATAAAAGGGAGGTAATACAAATAACAGTAATTAGCAGGTGAGGGGAAACAATAACAGGAAATTTGAAAGCCAGTTATACTTGTGCAGTGAATATTCATCTAACTCTAATTATTTTAACTTTGATTTTAAACACACACCTGTTAAACAGTAAAAACTAAAGTGCTAGCTCTGATTGTTGCCTTCAAAAACATGGCCAGAATCTATAACCAAGTGTGAAATCATTAAATTGGTATAAATTTCATTTTCTGTAAAGAAATTTTTTCATGAATAGACAAGAAGAGATTAGATATTATTAATCATATCCTTACAGAAATGACTTAAAATCTGAAGTTAACTTGAACATACAACAAGCAAAGTTCTCAAGTCAATATTTACAATCCATAAGAGTTATACATACCTGTATTATCAAGGTAAACACAAGTGATTTGAGGACATAATCGCAGATAACATTAACCATCCTTCTCCAACCACTCAACACCCTGGTGTCACTTTGATTATACAAAATTCATTTACATGTTGTTTTCAAATCTACTCTCTAATTATAGTAACGTTCTATAAAAAGCAATGGGATACCATCCAAAAAATCCAAGTTGACTTAACATTATTTAACAGTGTCTCATTGTGCTGCTTGTTGATGAGTAGATAATAGGTGTTTATAATCTTGCACAACTTGAAGTTATCATATAGTAACTAAATCAGCACTCTACTATAAACATTTACTATAGAAAGGTTCCTCAGTTTATTTACACTTTGTTCAGGTTATTCAGATCAGTGGATTTTCCCTTTGTCACAGAATCAATGACTTGTGTGCATACACCTTATAATTTTAAATCCAAACAAACTATTACAGAATTTTTAATGTTATGCCATTTATTGACTAGGATGCCTTTTCCACAATGAAAATAATCAATTAATGAATAATTTTGTTACCTAGGATACCAAAGGTGAACAATTGTTTAGAGATTGAAGAATTATACATTCTGCACGTGAAAATCCATAATCAATGATGAAAGATAAAAGACAAACTCCAATAATCAAATAAATAATGTATATAATTGATACGTTGTATCCTCCAAAATGATCGATTCCAAATTCCAATAATGTTCCTAATTTAAAATACCAAAGATAGCTTCAGTCAAGTTTCGCAATTCAACTTTTGATATTTCAAATTCCCAAACTGCAACATTTAATTTGCTGTCTTCACGATGAGACACAATGGAATTGGCTTTCTCAATGAAATCTATGTGTAGAATGCTAATATAGCGGAATTTCTCCAGACCCTAGTTGAGTCATAAAATTGTCACTTTTACTCGCTCCTTCAAACTCTGATTAATCTTTCTCTAAAACATTACATTTATTGATAGCTTGCATGCACAAGAAACTGTAAATGACTTGTGTAATTTGTCTAGTTTCCTGATCAAAAGCATTACATTGAGCAAGCAGTCAATTCCATTACAATTCTATACCAAGAAAAAACCTAATTGCAGTGTAATATCCGAATGGATGATTCCAAGAATGTAGAAACTGTCAATAATTTCCACAAAAAGAGATCTGAGTTACACAACTCTGAAAATGATTAAATCCAAATATCAACCTATCATATGGTTTCATGATGATCATTGCTGTCGATAGTATTTAATTTCCATGTTAATTATCAAGTTATATACAACTGATAAGTACATCAAATTTAAACACAAGTGATTTATACACTGCAAATTATGATTAAATAAAATTTGCCTTAAAGCAATATATCTAATTGTCTTGCTAATATGTCTACAATAGAAACTTCCATTCAAAATGTCTAGTATTTTTATCAATAACTCAATCCTCTTTTTAAATTACTAAGTTGTTTGTCTTTTGAACAGCTTGTCACATATCCTAAAGGTTTTGGCTATAATTATGTATATAGTACATCAACTTAGTCTTCTGTAATGCTTTTAATAGCCTAAGACACAATCAATTCATTCAAAACACTGATTTTCCAAAAATATGATATTCCCTGTTAATTAATATCCCATGTACACAGTCTAGATAAGGTTAATCTGTAAAGTACATACAATTACACATGGACACTATGTCCTAACACACACTCTAATCACACCCGTCTCTAATGATAATTGGTTTCTCACATTTATTAGATTAACATTGACCCATTGGTCTGTCCAGCCCATATGACTTCCTGTCTATTCAAAAATCAATGTAGATCCATTCATAAAAACGATCAAAGCATTTAAATAACTATTTTGTGTTCTATAGTGACAAAACTATCTGCTCCAAAAACAGTACAACGTAGGCGTGATATGTGGACTGGATATCATATGAACAAAAATCACTGAGAAAACTGTACAAGGTTGTGTGGAATTACTTCAACCAAGTGTCATAATAAGCTCAAAATTTAGTTAAATGGCTCCATTTGTGAAAAATATTTGTTTTTTTGTGGTCACTTTCAGTGGGATAGTCATGTAAACCTTGGAAATACAATACAAAAACAGCTACTATTTGTATAAACCACAAAGGTCGTATTATTAAAAACACTTGCATAAATTTAAATCAATAAACCAAAACCACTCACAAAATATATCCCATACAAAAATAAATATATGTCAATTAAATTGAATTCCTTCATAAATAACGTTTTTTCTTCCTTTAATATAACATCTTCAGTCTTCAGACATAATCTAAATATATGTTACATTTAATCACTTAATACCAGTAAGCTTATAATCAGAAGTGTTGAATAAACTTTAAATTGCAGGTGTTTGGGGGATTTTTAATTGATCCATTTTAAAAGTCACTATTTAGAGCCAAAGATATGAAGAATATGATATTTTTGTTTACATGGTTTTTTGTATCAATATCCTGGTTTATCCTAGGATAAATCAATTCTTTATCTCTTGTTTTTAAAAACAAAAGCTGCACTAAATAACATTTGAAGCTCCTTCCTATTAGCTTTGATCATAGTGGGTTAATCTTTGCCCCATCCTTTACCATGTGGGTTTTCCAAAAGTCCAAATTGTCAATCCTAATTATTCCTTCTAATCTCTCCTGCCAATTCAAATGTTAGTTTTCCAAATGATTAGGATTCTGGTCAGCATGTAGAATTTCTCACTAATTCTTTTTTCCCTCCATCAATCAGTTGTTTGACAGGAACTGATTAATTACAAGTAATCAAATCTTAGATATATGTGTGGCAAGTACAATAAAGCATGTTCTAATTAAAACAAAAACCAAGGCTCATAAAAAGCATCTCATCAATGGAGTTGGCAAGTACAATAAAGCATGTTCTAATTAAAACAAAAACCAAGGTTCATAAAAAGTATTTTATCAATGGAATTGAGAGCTTCCATTGGATTTCAATATAATACTAGTGCAACTTGAATTTCCAAGATAAAAAGGAGGTGTCTAAGAAAGCCACATTTTGCAGTACCCAGCTCACAAGTTTGACCATTAGCATTACTATTCTTATTACTTTATACGTTGGAGTGGTTAACTAAGTAGATCCAGAATTGACCATAGAAGGTGGACCAGAACAATAATGTTTACTGGTCACAGATTGGCAAAACAGGATAAAAAAATCAAATCTAATTTTTTATTCAATTTATTGTGGGTATCATTATTGTAATGACATGTATAAGTCCTATGGGACTTTTAAGGAAAAGTTATGCAATTGCAATATTCTCTGATATAATTAAACAGGTCACAGAGTTCATCTTCCAACCTTCAGGTGAAAACATTGTACATAACTCAATCAAACAGAAGCCAAACACATGGCTTTAGTACTTAAAACTCCTATCTAACCTTGTCCCTCCCTTTGGTAAACAGGATATCTTAATTTTTATAACTAAGTGACCCCAAGGACCTTATCCAGGTCACCTTGTATCTACCTTAATCAATCTATATCTCACCAATAATCAAAATTAATGAACATATCAAAATTGATGTAGGTAATTAACAGCTTTATCACACTCCCTGTCATGTTATATCAAAACAACTGATAAATTATTTTTTGGCATTATAACTTGCAGACAGAATAACCAACTTTTTTTACTGATTCATATTCAAATATAAAAGATTAGCAAAATTAATATTCTAAAAGATATTTTTAAAATTTTTATTTGCAGGTTTTGCTTAATAGAATCTCTAAAATTGTTTTATAGTTCATCTTAGTCAAGTTATGCTTCAGGATTATTTGATTTTGATCCTTGTTAAACAAGATCCTCTCATTCATCTAAAGTTACGGCTTTTATTTGTTGTCCCTGCCTTATTTCTTATTTATAATGCAATATGAATGAAAGGAGACATGACATATAGATTAACCAGACAGCAATCAAATGACATAAAAAACTTTAATACATCAAAAGGTCAACATATTCATGTCTTCAGCAATAAAGACATGTGTCTATTCAATATGTCAAGCTGTTAGTCACTGCAAGTCAATATGACATGTCAGACACAACATATACTTGAAATAACCTTGTGGTATCATGTATAGTTGCTGTGGAATAAACATAGCCTGTAAACTTATTTTGACCACTGGACCATGAAAATTAGGTCAAGATATTGTGAAATATATAAGACAGACATAAATATGGCTGTAACAAATGGTTACTGGATCACTGATGTCTGAAAATGAGGTCAAGGTCAAATGACATATACCAGGTGGACATATACTAGCTGTGAAGAATTCAAATATCAAATAATGATCACCTGTCATACATATACATGGCTAGTTTCTGATAATAAAGAATATCAACTGTACTAAACTTCAAGTCCTATCTAAATAAAAAAAAGACAATGTCCCTCATAATAAATTGCTTGTTTTGACAAAATTTCCTTCTAATTGGTGTTTGACTGAAATAGTCCTGATTATTTATAGCCACTTTCTAAACTAAATAAAAGGATTTACAAATCATCAAGCCCCCAGTTTCAATACATTTCACCTTGTAGTTTCAAGAGATAAAAACATCAAAATAGATCAGCTTAGAACCTTGATCAAAGTAAAAAGGTACATGCTTTCTATTGTTAACATAGCCATTCTGTCTTCAATGAATCTCATACAGGCAAAATATAATGATGAATTAAAATGAAAATCCTCTTGCAGAATGTAGTTAAATTCTTTGATGTTAAGATATTGATAAATTCTGAATTAAAAAAAAAATACAGAAATAAACCTTATGATTTAAGTTGTAACTAAATAACATGCATCTAATTAACTGAAGTGTGGGAAAAATTTAATTCACACTTTGACTATTTAAATACTTTACATACTGACATTTATAAAAACACTCCCACATAACCCTGTTTACAAATACTAAAATTTCAATGTAACGTTGAACAAGATAGTCGTATAAATAATTAAAAAAAAAATCGGTCCCCAAAATTTTTTAAACAATGTTTATGGTGTAGGTGTTTGAAATGCTTTAACACTAAACTAGCTACCCGATATTCTGAAGTATTCATTATAATCATTTTATTTAAGGTAAACAATTTTTCATGAAGCAATTTCACAGATGACCATATATTTGGTCTCCATTCCTTCTTCACAACTTATCACAGAATAAATACTTTTGACCAAATTCTTAACTTCTCATCAGTAACATAACACATACAACTAATGAAGTAAAAGTTAAGATTTTAATAGGGTAAATATTGCTCATTCTAAGTTTTCTGTGTATAGATAGAGTTTGATTGATGCAATACAAGAAAGAGTTATTTCCCTTTGTCACCATGTGCACAAATCAGATATAAATGTATCGATCTCTTTTATTGTCTGAAATATAATTGAATGAATTCTTACAATATATATGTTTATTTGTATAAAAAGCACATTAAATCACAAAAAAAGTTCTTAAATTTGTCATAAAATCTTCAAATTTCCAATTACCAATGTATATTTGTTTTTGGGTACACATTAGACAAAGTGGTGTTCTAAGTGAAAAAATACCACAAAATGTCGACATGTCCATAACATCATCGAGTTGTAAGCCCGTTTAACATCGATTTTGACATTTTTGCCACCAACTAAATAGCAAATTGTTAAATACACACAAAACACAGTTGGTCACCTTTTGGCTATCTTATTTCAATCAAATGGAAATGTTATAATCAACAACATAGCAATTTTTTAATAAAATCTATGCATTGCTTTAAAAGATGAACATTATTTCACCTATTTTATGTGCTTTCTATACAAATGTTCACTTATTTTGTAATATTTGATTTATTGATACTTCAGAAATAATAGAGATAAATAATTAATTTTTTGGATTTCAGTTCAAGTTTAACATTCCACAGCTGTATTCAAAATTTGACAAAATCTGTGAATGATTTTTTTTCTCAGTAACTTGACCTTTAACCTTTCTTAATTCTTCACTATGATCTAGTTAAGGATTTAATTCTTATCAAACTTGTTTGTACCACATGTTGCAAGTTTCTCTGTCAAATAAGAAAAAATCAACCAGTTGGCCCAAGACCACAATTAATGACCCCACTTTTCGTTGTTCACGAATATAGTTCCCTTTAATTAAAGTGTATTTTTTCTTAATTTTTTTTCTTTGCCTTTCTCATTGATTTCTTAGTTTTTATGGGGTGGAAGTGAAAGAAGAGAGGTAAAATAAATTTTTGGATGTTGTATTTAAACTGATTTTGATATGGAAAGAGTGATTAGGCCAAGTGCAAAAAGGTAATATTTACAGTTTTCGGAACATCTCTTGACTTGTCGATAGGGGTATGGCTGTGTAGTGGCTAAATTTGTAAGAGTCATTGGTTCAATCTTTCTGAATTTTGGATATATTTTTGGACTAGTACTATACATTACACACACAAAAGATTTGACAAAAATGCAAGGTGCAATTTTTTTAATGAGACAAAACGTTATAAAGAACTAATAGAGGAATTAATTGTGGTCTGTGGCCTAAGAGGCTGATACCCAAATTCTTGAAAATAAAGAAAGGACCAACTTTTTTGGCAGAAAGTCACTTGAAATGATAAATATTATTGGTTTATTGTAATTTTATTCAATATTAATCTTTAAACCGGTTATAATATGCCATTTTTGGCATTTTTGGCCATTTTGATGCACTGAAAGCCCTTTGACCCCAGTTTCAGCCCTTTCTGTCAATAATGTTGGACCCTTTTTATATTTTAGAATATATTACTACTCTATTGTCTTACAAAACATCACATCTTCAAAATGGATGCTTTTTATCTAAAATATAGTCAAAAATTAAGAGATAGCTCTGCACCTGGCTATAATGGGCAGTGTCAAATTTGGACAGGTTTATGTACACCTAATGGCAAATATGGAGTTATTAATTGTAAATTTCCAGATGCCAGGGGGTGGAGACAAATGCATGTGCACAGGCTTGCCTACATGGTGCATCATCAGAATATTTTTATTGATAAAACTGATGATGTTTCGCACCTGTGCCACAATTCGAAATGCATTACTGTCGAACATCTGTCGTTGGAACCTCATGGTTTCAACAACAGCCGGCAGTCATGCGTTTCAACCGGTTCCTGCTTAGGCCACCCAGATCCCCTCCCTCCCTGCAGAGTGGAGTTAAAAATGGACAATAATAATTTGGGTAAAATAATTATCGGGTACTTTTTTATTTTCATTTTACTTCTTTTTTTTTCTGGGGCAGGCCAAAATTTTATATTTTTATCAGAATGGGAGAAAAAAAGGGAAAAAAATTGGAAGCTAATGTACAACAACTTTAGATTCTTTTTTTGATATTTGGGTGGTCCTGAAAAGGACCTTTTATGGTTTTGTTTGCTGGTGGCTCTGGTATCTCAGTCTGCAGCAGGTCTTGGAAGCTTTGGTTTGCAGTAGCTGTCATGGTCCTGGAACTGTAAGGCAGGCTGTGGATCTAGTTGACCTTTGCAGTAATAGTCATGCTTTTTGTTCATTTCTCTCCATGTCTTGTGCTCTGCAAGCTTTTCTGCATTCTGCTTTAATCTCCTTTCTTGAACTGCTGGTCTTAGTATGTAATCTTGGTTGTATTGAAAGTCAGTGTCCATTTTCTTCAGGTGAAGTTTACTTCGTTCTGAAAGGTCTACCCCTAGATTTGTACATTTCAGTTGTGTCGAGGTTCCCGGCATGTTGTTATTTCTATGTACTCCTGAAGCAAGTCGTCCTTCCATATTTTTGGAGTAAATTACATTCTTGGGCAAATTAAGACTCAGTGCTCTATGTACTCCTTCATTTTTGTTTGTATTGTCATAAAGTTTCATACTTTCAATAGCTGCTGAAGTTAATTTCATTTTCAGGATTTCTTGAAGTAAAAATTTATCTGTTTTATCCATTTGCAGGGCAGTGATCTGGTATGTGGACAAGTACGATGAACGACTCCACCAGTTAAGTGCAGCATCACCTTTGCAGACAATGGAATATTCCGGACACAGGGTGCAGTCACTATCATAGCAGCGAAGAGTTGCCTCGAGCACTTTTGGTAAGTCTTTGCTTATTTCATCAATGTTTTTGTCATATTTCTCCATCAGTTTCTTTAATATCATGGAGCATCTGCACTTTAGATCTTTGCTAAACACAGTCCTCAGTTGTTTATTTTCCTCTTTTGTTTTTCCATGGAACATTCCGGCACTGTATTGAGCTCGCAAAGAGGCCCTGAATTGAGACTGTCCCAAATGTACATGATCTGCCAGTCTTTCTACTTTCCACATTGGTTCGAGAGCTGTAAGGGCGTCTTCAATACCTCTAGCTGAACGTCCATCTCCATCTGTGGTCACATACCGTACAAGACATTTCTGGAGTCCTAGCTGATTTCCTATCTCTTTTCCCAGCTCGTACTCTGACAGGGCAGCAGCTCTGTATAAATTTGCTGTACATTCTTCATGGCCAGGACATTCTATTGGAAAGCCTTTTCCTCTAAGCCAAGCCCCTTTCCAACACATCTTATTCTGCGCAACTGCAGCTACTATATACTTTTTATCTGTCATTGTTTCTATTGCAAGGGCAAATGCTTGAGTGGCATTCTGACCGGGTTTCTTTTTACTAACAATTGTGTTGCTGTTGTATCGAGCATCCACAGTTATGTTAATTTCATCTTCTGGGACACCTCGCTTTCTGTTGTCTTCTTTTACTAGTTCCAGTTTCTGTGCCATGTCTGTTTTGTTCAGTTTGACCATTTCAGCTGCTACTCTACTGGATGTGCGTTGCATACTGCTTCGACATGGTGGTGGTGTGTCCATTCCTGCAAGGAGTTGCTGCACTGTTGTATTTCCAATTGGGCAGTCCTGTAAAGCAGATGCAAGGGCTACATTTGGTTGTCCTGGGTTGGGTCCTGGTTTGCCATTAGCTATTTCTTTGTACATCTTTATTCTGTCTCCAATAAAACCACAGGTTATGCATTTCAGGGTATACTGCCAGCAAGTTCCCCACTTTTTCTGTTCATGATAGTCAACATTAAATTTAGGACAGGATGGTGAGTCCACTTGGTGTTTATCATAAGTAGTGTTGTACAAGCTGAGTGTCAGTTGACTGTCTATCCACCTCATACCAAAATGTAATGCTTTATTTTCTTCTCTTTTCAGGTCAGCTTGCGAGCGAAGAGTACAGATGTTACCAGTCGTCTCTATTTTGCAGTCAGAAGATTGAAAAGTTTGCCGCACATGGGAAGTACGTGCACTACCTGATTGAGGGATCGGTATTGATGTCTGGCTTCGGCTTCTACCACTGGGTTTTCCAGCTTGGAACCATCCAGGATTTCTTGGAGAGTTGTCTTTCTTTGACCTGTTCTTGGTATAGCCTTTAGTGAACATTTTGAAAATTTAACTGGATCCTTAATATCCCAACTTGGACTGATAGCATAAACTTTGGACATCCTTATATTTATAATCAAGCATTGTATGGTATCTGCTTTGATGTACATTTTTTCCTTTGATGCAGTCTGTGGTGTAGATTTCAAGAGACCACCTTCAGAGGCAACTCTGAATTAACAGAGTTTTCTTAGCAGTATCCAACTAAGCCAATTAATCTATTATTAGGGGTCCAGATTAAGATTGTTTCATCCAAATCTATTGAAAAATGTTACTTTATCATTTATTGAGAGATTAATTTAACAAAGAAGCACATTTTTTTTTTTTTATTAATTTTTTTATAATTTTTTTTATCAAAATGCAATATATTTTTTAATAACTATTTTTCTTACAGAAATCTGTTATAAAATTAAAATCTATTTATCTATAAAAATAAACATAACAGAAAACTTCACTAAAAAGTTTATTTCAGAGTAATATTTCAAGGAATAAAGAAATTACACTAGTTTGAAATTTTCATTACATGTAATCTGACCTGATGTTACACATGAATATTGGTACCTCAGGTAAACAGGCCAAGTACCTGTGAAATTTGTCTGATTAGTGTTAATGTTATATTTTATTTATTACAGATAAGATAAGCAATTTTTTAAGATAAGTTTTGAAAGTTAATTTTCTTTTTAAATATTTTTAATGGAATTTTATTTATGTTCAGTGTTGGTATATTCACTAAATTTACAAGAATTTTAGAAAAAAAATAATTTCAATTTAAAAAACACAATTTTTGATAAATTTTCTTTCAGATTCTAGAAATTTAACCATTTAGCTACTATAGACATTTTACTTTTTGAAGATATCATGTTTAACAAGAAAGTTATTAAACTTTTACTTTTCCTAGTAGTTACATGTTTTGAAAGTTTCATGCCAGAAAACAACTAGAATTATCAACATGAGGGTAGTGTTATTAAAACTATCAGAACTGCCATAAAACTTGTCGGATTGATTTGATATATGGTATGCTAGTTCGATATAGAATAAGCTTAATGCGTGCCTTTTTTTGGGGTATTATATTGAAAAAAAAGGGTCTAATAGGCCCAAGACCACAATTAATGACCCCACTTTTCGTTGTTCACGAATATAGTTCCCTTTAATTAAAGTGTATTTTTTCTTAATTTTTTTTCTTTGCCTTTCTCATTGATTTCTTAGTTTTTATGGGGTGGAAGTGAAAGAAGAGAGGTAAAATAAATTTTTGGATGTTGTATTTAAACTGATTTTGATATGGAAAGAGTGATTAGGCCAAGTGCAAAAAGGTAATATTTACAGTTTTCGGAACATCTCTTGACTTGTCGATAGGGGTATGGCTGTGTAGTGGCTAAATTTGTAAGAGTCATTGGTTCAATCTTTCTGAATTTTGGATATATTTTTGGACTAGTACTATACATTACACACACAAAAGATTTGACAAAAATGCAAGGTGCAATTTTTTTAATGAGACAAAACGTTATAAAGAACTAATAGAGGAATTAATTGTGGTCTGTGGCCAGTTACACCTCCATTATGATGGTCAAGGGAAATAACCCAAACACAAATTACGGCATAACGAAACATATCTATTGTTTTTGTTTTTTGACTGCTGTTTGTATTTGTCTTTTTCTGTTGGCCATGGTGTTGTTTCCTCTTTTTTGAATCACAACCTTCTATCTTTTTGAGTAAACCATGAACACACAATTCCTGATTATTGCAAGAGTAGCTGAAAAAATGGGTGAATTTTCATTGTGAGTTATGCTTAATGGCTATTTGTCACAGTAATGTAAATATTCCTATATTGTACAATCGATCACCATATGGCTATGAATTACTTTGACCTGACCTATTTCCAGAAATGGAATTAACTTCTATATGGTAGTATATACCCCTGAAATAAGTGAATATTAACTCATTTCTCAGTTTTGATCTTAGGTCAAAGCAAGAAAATTAAACCCTGAAGAATGCCTATTAAATTTATGATTTAAATTTCTTCAATACAAAGTGTTGTTGGAGAGCTTTTAAACAAGATATCAGTTTAATTTCAATTTATGATTTCCACAGATACTCTGTGGAATTTTATAGATATTAGAATGTTTATTTGCCCTCGAAATTAACTCAATAAAATCTTTTAATTTCCTTATATATTCACAGGTGGAAGTTCGTCTGTTCTTTTGATCATGGCTATATAAAATACTGTTTAATTGTCAAGCATGAACCTTTCTATTCACCTTTTGCTAATTAGCATTCAAACAAAGATGTTCAAAAGTTTTTAATCTTTATATTTACATTTTCATTAAGTTTTTATCTTTTTACAGTTGAGAATATTACCTTACAAGCTGCACCTTACAGGCGAGATATCATTTTGTTCATAACATGTTATGACAACCTAATTTCACAAATCGTTGAATAATTCCAAAAAATGCAATGACCCTCAAAATTTTGTATTGAAATAAACATGACAAGAAGTTTACCTTGTGAGGCAGGTACGAAAAGCTTCATTCAAGAGAACTTAACCCCCTGATCTAATCTTTCTTCATAAATAATTTTATATGACAATTGTCAAAAATGGATTCTTTATTAAAGGATCATTGTCACCCGTCAACAGAGTACTAAGGTCTGCTAATGAGACTTTAACATCTATAATGTGACATGTGACGAGAACAAACATCCTCTTTTGAATAAGACTATTTCATCTTGACAAAATACAAAATACGGTAAATAGCTATATTTATCCAGTCAATTTTAACTTATATGTGATTTAGTGAGTATAAACTTTCAAATATAAAATAATCATTCCAAATTTGCAGCAAGAAAACCTTCCCTATGAAAAAATTCCATGGAAGAACTAAAACTTCAGTTTTGGTGACAATATGGTTTTTGAAAGAATTAATTAAAGCATTTGTATGTCAAATATGACATGAATGTATTTCTGATTTTATTTGTTTGAGAAAAAAGGTTTTTGTTTTGGCTTGATTTGCATGATTTTCAAATAGTAAAGTGTAAGTAATGCCTTTTAATTTTAACAGTTGTTCAAGCTTTGTTAAAAGGGTTATTACATGAATATTGGTGAATATTATCCATCATATGCTCATGCAATATGAAAATCATTAACCAATATTCAACAATAACTTTATATTATAAACTGCTGAGATTTATTCCAGAATCATTTCTTTTTATATAGTCACCAGTTCAAAATGAAATTCACTCGAGATTGAATAATTAACATTTAAAACTACTCTGTTCTCATTACCCAGTAAACTTTGATCAAACTACTCTTACTGTAGACCTGGTAAATCTGTATTAACTGTAGCTACATCATGATCTATTTTACCTCACTTTAATATCATCACTTAACCATGAAATTGAATTAAATCATTTCATATCTTGATGTTTTCTGTGGTGAACATAAATTGACATGAAATATTTTCTTCACATTGATTACTTTAAAATTAAACTTTACCAAAATATTAACCACGATTACTGAACCATGAAATTGAGGTCATTTCATACTTTGAGTGACATTTCTGTGATATCAAGCATACTTATTTAGGGTAGTAAAGATCCTTGCTGATAGGAATATCTTGATATTTTCTGTAGTGAAATGACATTATGATATTAATATTATTCCTCAAAACAAATCACCTTCAACCTGAAACTTAACCAAGATTACTCAACCATGAAATCGAGGTCACCTTAACCTTAGGGCCATTCTATGATGAAGTTAATTCATGATGTTTCATTTCTGTTTCACCATTTCTGTGTTTTCATACTTACCCTTAATGAGGTAGAAGCAAGGCAATTAGTATTTTCTGGTTCCCACAGATTACTGTCTGTTGATTCTGTTGGACACAGTTGAGTACTGGGAACTTGTCGGCCATATTGAGAGAACTGAATGCTGATCATCGTGTTATAGGGACACTTAATTTTTAATGTTTCTCCGTCACAGGCATACACATCAAATGTATTTAATGTACTTGTTAAGAGACCTGAAATTAAAATATTCACAATTTAATCCATTGAATAATTAATTTTCGTTGATTGATGTTTATAACTACTCCTCACGAATGTACACAATTACTCTTAATTTTTGTCATACATTAAATACAAGTTTCAAATAGATAACAGATAGATAACTGATAGATAATAAATAGATAACAGATAGATAACAGGACTAACTAATAATATTGTACAGTACAACTGACCACACCAACACCTGACTCCTCCGAAAAAAAAATAGACGGACAAAACAAAGGTAATCAATAACAAACAACAAAATGGTCCCAATAACCTGATTTGTAAAGGCACAAAACGTGGTGGCATTTATTGGTTTCAGGTGTGCACAAACCATTCTAGACTAATTATATGTCATTAAAGTAAAACAAAAAACAAGAAAAAACCCTGCACTGAGTCAATTTAAAACAATGAAAACATGCATTCAACATGACAAGTTATACAGTATAGTTTACCAGTACACAGATGAATCTTTGTTCTATTACATGTACCATGAAGATGCAATTAGCAATTGTTACGAAATATTATTGACAGAAATATCGAGTAAATGTATACACCATAAACCATTCACCAGTATATATTAGAATTGATGCAATTTTTCTTTATTTGTGGGAAAAAGCCAATTTAAGGGGAGATAACCATTATTTTTTTTTTTTAAAGCACTTTTTTCATTCACCTTCCATGTTTTCACTTGATTTTTCAATATTTGCCTTTTCATCTTGGGAAAGGTATGTTTTATCTGTATGTTATTAAAGAAGACACTTGAGCAAATATTTCAACACATTCATTATAATCTGTGAAATCTAACTTGATATATGTGATATTTAATAGCAATTAATATTCAATCTTTTATCTGTTACTTCTTTTGAATTGCTGAGGAATTTTGTTCCGATTGTCTCCAACATAATTGGAAGATCCCAGTACAAAATTGACCTTGGATGTGCTAATCTATTTACTCACACAAATAAATAGTTAGGATGAAATTTGAACCTATCATTTGCCAAGGAAGGCTCATCTTACCAGATGTAATCACTTTTGGGGTTTTTTAAATTGTCACAGATTTTTTCCTAAAGCAGATTTTTTCTTCTTCATGTACTCCACATTTAAAAGTTTCCATCATATATGCAACAGAAGGCAGAAGATTCTATTCAGATATTTTTTTTATTACTTTTAACCTCTTTTTGCATTTTTATTACTTTGAATACCCTCTTCAATAGTTCTGAGATGTGAAGTATTATTTCTAAAATTCCAGCTTAACAATGTTGTGTTATAACAATCATTAATATGGACAACGGTTTGATTTTGGAATGACAAATGGACAGACATGAGTAAAACTGTAATATTATCTACAATGGAAAAGAAAACACATATGCCCTTATATTTTACAATTATGGGTTGTTTGCCTGTGAGAGAACTTTCACATGTTTATTATATTTTTGTTCTTTATTGTTAATTTATTATATCTATATATAACATGATACATATCTATTATAAGGTTAAATCCTAACTATCCTACTGCCTGTCGATACTTTTATTTTGGCATTGCACGTCATGTCTTCTTTGACTGTCCATGGCGTTAAAACACTAAATCCCTGGGATGTGTTTTAATTGATTTCAGTCTCTGATACATGATTTTTTATTATTAATTGTTTTTGGCTTTTATCTAGCTTTCAGTAACTGCCAGTACTCTGGCAAATCATACTTTCATGTTAATTTGACCTGTTGACACAATTTGTAATGGATTTTTGTTATTCAATTTTTACTTTTTTGTGTTATATCTCATCTCACTATTTTTAATGTACCACCTTTGAAAAGTATTTAGCATGATGATAAATTTTTTACTTCTGTACTCGTACTATGAAC